ATGAAAAGATAAATAGACGGAGAATCATATTTTCGGATGCGGGCACGGCAATTAATACAATACAACCAAAAATGATATATGTAAGATAAGATATATTTAAAGTCGGCAAAAAAAAAACCACAATGATTTACCAATCCAGACTCGACTTTTATTTACAGGCAAGCATAAACGATCATTATATATGAATGTCTGAAATATTTCATGTAAAATACCATTATTATTTCTCGTTACGTTCCGTTTCACAAAGTACCAATACCTGTGTGGGTATTGGTACTTTGCGAAACGGAACGAAACGAGATAGGAAAAGCTAATTTGGCCACATATGTATATAGAGGATATTTGTTTGTTTTGCATGTAAGATTGAAATATAATTTCACTGAGTGAACACCAGATGCAATATTTTCACGAGTGGCGTAGCCACGAGTGAAAATATAATAGCTGGTGTTCACGAATGAAATATATTTCAATCTTATATGTAAAACAAATAAATTTTCTTTTTATTTCATGCTTTTTAAGTGATTTTAAGTATTATTTACTGATTTTGCCGCGTAACGTCGCGCATTCTCCATCATCAATTTTGAAATATAGTTCTGTTAAATTTCTCTAATTTTGGTACATTTTTAACATGATGTATGGTGACATCGACTTTCTTTTCATAAAGAAGCAAAATTTACGCATGACAGCGTTTATTTCTGCCTGTTATTCCATTTAGTTATGATTTTCTTTTCATCCGCATTTAGATATAGTCCGGCTACAGTGAAAATTATATTTTATAAATTTCACTAGTGGTTTATTAGAATATAATCATCTGATATATTACAATAAAACACTGGAAAGCATGAAATAATATGTGATTCAAGGTACTGATACCTTAGAATTAGAAAAAAAATAAGGATACTAAAATTTCGGTACAATGAGTTACAAATGTACATGTAAATAATTCCCTTCACACGGACATACAAATTCTCCTGTTATCTTCAGACATAAAAAGACAAGTTGCAGATCGAAACTCTACAGTAATACAAAAAAACAACACATATAGAAATGATTATTTAATATTCCTGTACATAGTAAAAAAATTTGCTCGTTCCGTTTTGTTTCGCAAAGTACCAAATCCGGTGTGGGTATTGGTACTTTGCGAAACGGAACGAAACAGAATATAAAAAGACCTTTGGTTACAAATGTATTATGTAGTTCAATATGTCGACAGTAAGAATTCAAATAAAAATAGGTTATTCATATCTCATTAGAAGCAATGACATGCAAAGAACAGAATCATACAGATTCTCCTTAATACATTATAATGATTAGTTGCAGATTCAAGCTCGACAGTTATACAAACATTAACGATTATCCGACATTCCTAAAAATGATATAAATATATTTTGTCTTGTTTCGTTCCGTTTCGCAAAGTACCAATACCTGTGTGGGTATTGGTACTTTGCGAAACGGAACGAAACAAGAGAGAAAGGGCTAATTTAGTTATATTTGTATTATGTAAATAAAGATTACAGCGTAATGTACATGCATGGAATAATGCAAAAAATCTTCCCTTCACAGACATACAAATTTTCCTATAATCTAATGTAAGTTTGAATATTAAAAAATTAATTATTTAATTTGAAAAATATACAACGTTTCGACTCAAAAGTTTTCAAACATTAACGATTATCCGACATTCCGAAAAAGAATAATTGATTTAAATATATTTTGTCTCGTTTCGTTCCGTTTCGCAAAGTACCAATACCTGTGTGGGTATTGGTACTTTGCGAAACGGAACAAAACAAGAGAGAAAGGGCTAATTTGGTATAATGTGGAGAATAATCACGCGTGCACATACAAGGAAATATGCAAAAAAACCTTCCCTTTACAAACATACAAATTGTCCTATAATCTTATAACAAAATTCCATGCCGAGGTTATTTATGAAGATACATGTATCTATGAGTTTGATACAAAGGAAGTCAGTAGCGCAGTGTTAGCAGGTTAGACTACAAGACCAGCTAGCGATCTTGGTTCGTCGACTAGCGACGTTAATAAGAAATTCTACCTTTACTTTTAGTAAAGTGTTGTATGGTTCCAGTTATTAGTTATGGCGTTGATGAGCTGTCGCAAATTACTTGAACAATATTGACATACAAATTCTTGTGATCATTATTGTACATTGAAGCATAAACGATTATTAGATAAAAAACATTTCATGTATATAAATAATTTTTTTTTCTCGTTTCGTTCCGTTTCGCAAAATACCAATACCCATGAAGGTAATGGTACTTTGCGAAACGAAACGGAACTAGACAAAACTATAGTTCATACTTAATTGTTTGTGTACAATGAGTTTCATCGGATAGACATAGATTATACAGAATTCGTATAATTTACTATTATGATTACTTTATATTGATTTTAAGAATTTACATTTCATTTATTAATTTCCCCTATGTGGTGCCTCTCGTTCCGTTCCGTTCCGTTTCGCAAAGTACCAATAGCCTTATATTTTAACCAAGGTGCACCTAGAAATACTGCTGTTATTATTTTCTTTTATAATAAGGGCCTGTATAGGGATATTTTTATATGCCCGAAAGGGCATATTATGTTATACCCCCTGGCGTCCGTCTGTCTGTCCGTACGTCCGTTAGCAATTTGGTTTCCGGAGCATAACTTAAGTTCCATTTGGCCCACAATGTTCAAACTTCATAGGATGATTGTCCATATTGGGTAGAAGACCCCTATTGATTTTGGGGTCAAAGGTCAAGGTCACTATTACCTTAAAACTGAAAACAGATTCCGGAGCATAACTTAAGTTCCATTCGACCAACCAAACTTCATAGGATGATTGTCCACATTGGGTAACAGACCCCTATTGATTTTGGGGTCACAATGTCAAAGGTCACTATTACCTTGATACTGAAAACAGTTTCCGGAGCATAACTTAAGTTCCAATTGGTCCACAATGTTCAAACTTCATAGGATGATTGTCCATATTGGGTAGAAGACCCTATTGATTTTGGGGTCAAAAGGTCAAGGTCACTATTACCTTGATACTGAAAACAGTCGGAGCATAAATTAAGTTCCAATTGGCCCACAATGTTCAAACTTCATAGGATGATTGTCCATATTGGGTAACAGACCCCTATTGATTTTGGGGTCAAAAGGTCAAAGGTCAAGGTCACTATTACCTTAAAACTGAAAACTGTTTCCAGAGCATAACTTAAGTTCCATTCGACCCACAATGTTCAAACTTCATAGGATGATTGTCCATATTGGGTAGAAGACCCCTATTGATTTTGGGGTCACAAGGTCAAAGTCACTATTACCTTGATTCTCAAAACAGTTTCCGGAGCATAACTTAAGTTCCATCTGGCCCACAATGTTCAAACTTCATAGGATGAGTGTCCATATTAGGTAGAAGACCCCTATTGATTTTGGGGTCAAAAGGTCAGCGGTCAAGGTCACTATATCCTTAAAACTGAAAACAGTTTCCGGAGCATAACTCAAGTCCATTTGGCCCACAATATTCAAACTTCATAGGATGATTGTCCATATTGGGTAGAAGAACCCTATTGATTTTGGGGTCACAAGGTCAAAGTCACTTTTACCTTAATACTGAAAACAGTTTCTAGAGCATAATTAAAGTTCCAATTGGCCCACAATATTCAAACTTCTTAGGATGATTGTCCATATAAGGTAGAAGACCCCTATTGATTTTGGGGTCACAAGGTCTAAGGTTAAGGTCATTATTAATAACTTAAGTATTAATCAACCTACAGCTGTAAAATTTTATAGGATGAACAGCTGATTCCCATGTTTTACAAATGCTTCATCCTTACAAAAAAAACAACACTTTCAGGTATATAATGCTCCGCCTAGCGGTGCTCTTGTTTAATAAAGGCTTTACAGAAAAGAATTTAATATGGTTTATTGTTCAGAATTTCATTTGAATTGATTTTTCAATGTACATGTACTAGTATTTTGTAAACTTAGATGTCTTTGTAACGTAGAAAGTTTGAAGACAGCCTAAGTATCATAAGATTTGTGTTGTTAGAATTTTGTTTAAGCATCATAAACATGAATTATCCTTATGGCAATGCATCACATTTTAATACGGCAACCAAAGTGTATATCTGATATTCTTTCTTCCTTTTTCTGTGTATTTTCATCAGAGTGATATTTCTTGTTTATGGTCTTTCAAAAATAAAAACCTTGTTTTTAAATGTACATTAAATACAGGATATTTGTTTGTTTTGCATGTTAGATTGAAATATATTTCACTGAGTGAACACCAGATGCAATATTTTCACGAGTGGCATAGCCACGAGTGAAAATAGAAAAGCTGGTGTTCACAAATGAAATATATTTCATTCTTATATGTAAAACAAATAAATTTTCTTTTCTTTTTCATGCTTTTTAAGTGATTTTAAATACTTTTTACTGATTTTCCCGCGTTATGTAGCACATTCTTCTTTATGACGTCATCACAACATCTGAAATATAATTCTGTTAAATTTCTCTACTTTTGTAACATTTTTAACATGATGTATGATAACATCGACTTTCTTGTCCTAAAGAAGCAAAATTTACGTGACAGCATTTATTTTTGCCCTATATTCCATTTAGTTATGATATTCTTTTCATCCGCATTCAGATGTAGTCCGACTACAGTGAAAATTGTATTTAATAAATTTCACTAGTGGTTTTTCAGAATACAATCATCTGATATATTACAGTAAAACACTGGAAAGCATGAAATAATTTTGTTCAAAACCCCTTTTAACAGTGTAGCTGGTGTTCATATATTCCTATCAATCTGACCTAAATGCTTATTGTAACTCAAGGGTCAAGCTAGTAATATGCCAAAAAGAAAAAAGCATCTTGTAGTTGTCTGGTGCAATGTAATGAAGTATAAACATTGAAGCATTTGTTGTTTTGAGAGTTGATTTATAGTCTTAAGATATGTGTTGTAAGGAAAAAATAATTTTGTTATAATAATTTCATTTCAGAGTCTACTGCTGATAGTCAGTCATCTTGTTTACCAAAGAAAAAGGAAGTTGAGACTCCAAAGAAGAAAGTCTCATTTGATATATATGGTAAAGAGAATCAACGATTTAAAGATCGCTATGGTGATCCTCTAAATAAATATTCTGACTATGATAGTGGCTACATTCAGGATTTGTTAAAAAAACATGAATTGAAGGAGCGTTTATATCAAGTAAAACATCGATCGATGGAACTGAGACGGACTGACGATCGTGCTGGTACACAGTCCAGGAATCTCCTTTTATTCAGATAGTTCTATTCCAATGGCTTATTTTTATGCAAAATTTATAATTTATTATTAATGAAGGATATTTTAGGGTTGTTGTTGTCGTTTTTCTTTTTGCTTGTAATCAAGCTTTGCTTTTTCTTTTGAAGAGGCTATTTATAGTTGCCTAGGGTATTCCAAAATGTCCCCTCCTTTGTATTCTCAAATATCTAATACACATTAAAAGCACTCTGAATTTATACATGTATATTTTTTACTTGATTATTAAAGCAACTTTCAGATCGCTATACTTTAAATGTGACAAAAAGAGAAATATGAGCTGGGGGAGGGGGTGGTCTGAGAGTACTGTAAAACCAGTTATTATGATTGCTGTGATGTATAATGCTTTAAGATAAGTTTATATTACAAAGTTATTTTTAGTTATATATCACATGTAATTGAAATATTTCATGTAAGTAATAAATGGACAGTTGTGATGTTTATATTGTGATATTTTAATTACTATAGATAAGGCTACTGTAATATTGAGGAACTTTTTGTTTTACAGACTTAATGTTCACACTTGCTCAAAGTACATTTTATGTTGCAAAATATGTTTCTGTAAATTAATGGAACAGACTTGTTACACTTAAGCCTTGCATGCTGGTACGTTTTATTGTATAGTATTCACCTTATGACATTGTTAAAAAATAATTAAAATAGTGATTTTTTTATTTTCTAATGTTTATTTATTCTACTATTTTTTGAAAAAATGAAGTACTATCTGTTGATTTTAAACCTGTGAAACTATATCCTATCACTTCACATGATTTGGAAAGTAACATACACATGCAGTAGGATATAATCACTCAACCAAATAATGTACCAATTAACTGATGATAAACTAGATAGGTCTTTGTATATTTATTATGTTTAGTACAGGTTCATGTGTGCAAACCTGTGAATTTGTTTATATCATAGTTTAAAAAAGGCAATAAAATTATACATGCAAAAACTTGATATTTTGAAAGGTAACAATTTGCTTAATGTTCAATACCCTATAATACCTTAATATAATATTAGACCTATTTTTATTATGAATGATGTTAATTATGATAGGGCTGACCCCTTATACCTATTATGATGGTAATTTAAGTTGCTCAGTTTGGGCTTCAAAAAAATACTACATCTACACATGGTGAACATTTAAGTTCTCTGGTACTGTTTCTGGGACATAGGAACATCTTGAAGGCATATGCTACAGTTATCATATAAATATAATTATAGGTAGAATAAACTGTATAATAGCATATGTCCAAATTGCATAATCTTGAAATATGAAGTTTTGTTAGTATGATGTACATGTATATATCAATTTTGTTTTTATAAGAATTCCGTCCAACATAAAATTTTGATCTCAATATGAAAATATATGATACATTATTACAACATATTGTGTTATTTTGTTTGAGCATGCTTTAATGGTTGTAATTTTTTTTCTTTATAAAGTTGTGATTTTGACCAATATACATATGTTTCTGATGACCATCAAATGTTTGTTATAATAAATATTTTTATTTATTTCATTGCTTGTTACTATTTCTATTAAATCATTTAAAACTTTTTATACGCCTGTTCAAAACATATTATATGAACGCCCCTGGCGTGCGGGCAGCGTCCAATTTTGTAGCACATCTCTAACACACATAGATTTTATAAAAACTATATAGAAATGTTCATGAGAAGCTGTGATGCGGGCATGAATCGGGTCTCTAGCTCAAAGTTACACTTGAAGCTTATAAAAATACACTTGTCCGAAGCAAAACTTACATCCATTTAGGGATTTCATTATAACCCGACACAAATGTTTATTATTGTGAGGCAGAGTGTCGTGTGTAAAATTCAGGTCCCTGCAGTCAAGGTCACACAGGTCAAAGTTCAAGTAAAAATATGAAGATTTGTAGAAGGACCATTTAGTCATCATTTATTTATTTGTAACTACAAATGGTCATTATCGTTATACTATGGCTGTGACACTTGTAATTTCGGTCAATATATGCAATGTCAATGTCACAAAAGATTATGAAATATCCAGATTTTGTCTGGAGCATATCTCCTACATGCATGGAGGGATTCCAATGAAACTTCATAGAGAAGCAGTGTCACATGCATGAACCAGGTCTCGAGGGTTAAGGTCACAGTTAAAGGTCATTGAAAGGTGCTTGTTTGAAGCAAAACTTTTACATTTAATGGCACAAATGTTCACTTTTTTGAGGCTAAGTATTGCACGCATAATCCAGGTCCCTGCTACCAAAGTCAAGGTCACATAGAGAGGTCAAAGTTAAGATAACAAGAGGGCCCGTATGGTCCTTGATCGCTCACCTAACCCAGCTAACTCATCCAAGCAATTATTAAAACAAGCATCCTGACCAAGTTGGCTGACAACTGAGTCAAAAATGTGACCACTAAAGTGTTAACAAGGTTTTTCTATATTTGGGCAGTGTGACCTAGTTTTTGACCCCAGGTGACCCATATTCAATCATCAAAACAAACTTGCAGTCCAATTTTCAGGATATTTGGATAACAGTAGCCACTAGAAAGTTAACAAGACTTTGCTATTTTAAGCTCCTGTGACCTAGTTTTACATCAGACGTGACCCATGTTCAGATTTCTCAGAGCAATTAACTAGACAAGCATCCTGACCAAGTTTGATGACAATTGAGTAACAAGAGCACCGCTAGGCGAAGCATTATATGCTGTTTTTTGTGTTTTTTTTGTAAGACATGGGAATTAAATAAAGTATTACCTCATTCAAATAGCAATCCTCCTATGAAGTTTGAATATTGTGGGCCAAATGGAACTTAAGTTATGCTCCGGAAACCAAATTGCGGACGGACATCAAGGGGTATAACATAATATGCCCGAAATTTTTTCGGGCATATAAAAAATATGACCACTAGAGTGTTAACAAGGTTTTTCCATATTTGGGCTGTGTGACTTATTTTTTTACCCCAGTTGACAATTGTTAGTGCGAATCCCTACAGGGACTTGAGATTCTTTCATGTGAGGAAGCTATTCAGCTAGCAGAAAGAAAGTTGGTGGTTCTACTCAGGTCTACCCATTCGAGCCTAAAATAATGCACAGAAGAGAATCTGAGGTCTTCCTCCACCAGTGAGGCTGAAATCGCTCACTTGTACATAGGCCCCTGGGGCGGGGCAAATTTTAACCCAGGGGCTTTTATTTGAACAAACTTGGTAGACACCCATTTGAAGATGTTTCATGATAAATATCTAAGCTGTAGCTCTTACAGTTTTTTAAACAAAGATTTTTTAAGTTTTTACTATATACATAAAGGGAAAAACAATGCCCCACTGAAGCGGGCCAATTTTGACCCCAGGGCTTTTATTTTAACAAACTTGGTAGACACTCACTAGAAGATGTTTCATGCTCAATATCTAAGCTCTAGCTATTTGGGTTTTTTAAAAGAAGATTTTTTAAGTTTTTACTATATACAAATTAGGAAAATCAATGACCCCTTGGGATCCCGCCAATTTTAACCCCAGAGCATTTATTTGAACAACATTGGTAGACACTGACTAGATGATGTTTCATGCCACATATTTAAGCTCTAGCTCTTTCGGTTTTCTAAAAGAAGATATTTTAAGTTTTTATGCTCCCCGAAAAATTTCGGGGGGAGCATATAGTCGACGCCTTGTCCGTCCGTCCGTTGTCTTGTCCGGAGCATAACTTGAAAACCATTGGAGATAATTTGTTGAAACTTCAAAAAGTGGTAGAGGGCATTGAGGGGGAGTGCAGTGTCAAAGAGCCATAACTCTATTTTGCCCGGTTTTTGAATTATCTCCCCTTATAGAAAAATCTTGTCCGGGGCATAACTTTAAAACTATAAGAGATATCAACATGAAACTTTGTAGGTGAATAGATCTCAATGAGTAGATGTGAGGTGCATAAGAACAATTACTCTTTTTGTCCTAATTTTGGAGTTATTGCCCTTTGTTAATTTTAACACTTTGAACTTTGTCCGGAACATAACTCTAAAACTATAAGAGATATCAAGATGAAACATTGTAGGTGAATAGTTCTCAATGGGTAGATGTGCAGTGCATAAGAACAATAACTCTTTTTGTCCTAATTTTGGAGTTATTGCCCTTTAATTTTAACACTTTGAACTTTGTCTGGAACATAACTCTAAAAGTATAAGAGATATCAAGATGAAACATTGTAGGTAGATAGATCTCATTGAGTAGAGGTGCAGTGCAAAAGAACCATAACTCTGTTAAGCTTCATTTTTGAATTGTCTCCCCTTTTAGAAAAATCTTGTCCAGGACATAGCTGTAAAACTATAAGAGATATCAACATGAACCTTTGTAGGTAGATATATCTCAATGGGTAGATATGCAGTGCACAAGAATCATAACTCTGCCTAGCCTAATTCTGGAGTTATTGCCCTTTGTTTATTTTACTTTTTGAAGTTGTCCGGGACATAACTCGGAAATCATTAGAGATATCATCAAGAAACTTTGTAGGTTGAAAGATCACATTGATTAGAAGTGCAGTCCAAAGAACAGTTACTCTGCCTTGCCGAATTTTGGAATTATTGCACTTTGAACTTTTTCCAGGGACATAACTCTGAAACTACAAGAGGTGTACTTTCCTGTGTCCAAAACCTATTCGGGGAGCATCACCCGGCTCAAACTGGGCTCTTGTTTCTTTTGGTTGCCACAGAAACCAGAGTTTTGCTTGGAATTAAATTCTTTGAACAAGTTTTAAAGTTGACTACCAAAGGAACATTCCTGTGAAGTTTGGATGAAATTGGCTTAGCGGTTTATGAGAAGATGTCGTTTAAAAAAATGTTTACGGACGGGCGCCGGACGAAAAGCAATCACAAAAACTCACCATGTCACTTTGTGACAGGTGAGCTAAAAATAAATAAATTAAACAAGAACCGGTTGAACCGGGTGATGCTCCCCGAGAAGGTTCTGGACACAGGAAAGTATAAAAAAAATGAACAAAGGGCAAAAACTCCAAAATTAGGCAAGGCAGAGTTATGCTTTTTTTGCACTGCACTTCTATTCAATGAGATCTATCTAAAAAAAATCTATAAAGTTTCCTGATGATATCAGAGTTATGTCCCTGGTAAAATTCAAAGTGTAAAAATGAACAAAGGGCAATAACTCCAAAATTAGACCAGGCTTTGTTTAGGTTCTTTAAGCATTGCAGTTCTATCCAATTATATCTAGCTACCTACAAAGTTTCATGTTGATATCTCTAATAGTTTTAAAGTTATGTCTCGGACAAAAGTCAAAAAGTAAAAATAAACAAAGAGCAATTACTTCAAAATAAGGCAAGGCAGAGTAATGATTCTTAAGCACTGCACTTCCATCCAATGAGACCTATCTATCTACAACGTTTCATGTTCAGATATCACTTAATAGTAATGTCCCGGACAAAGTTCAAAGTGTCAAAATGAACAAAGGGCAATAACTCCAAAAGTAGGCAAGACAGTGTTACAGTTCTTGTGCACTGCAAACCTACTTAATGAGATCTATCTACCTACAAAGTTTCATGTTGATACCTCTTATAGTTTTAGAGTTATGTCCCGGACAAAGTTCAAAGTGTGAAAATAAACAAAGGGGAATAATTAAAAAATTAGGCAAGGCAGAGTTATGGTTCTTGTGCACTGCACACCTACTCAATGAGATCTATCTACCTACAAAGTTTCATGTTGATACCTCTTATAGTTTTACAGTTAATGTCTTGGACAAAGTTCAAAGTGTCAAAATAAACAAAGGGGAATAATTCAAAAATTAGGCAAGTCAGAGTTACGGTTCTTGTGCACTGCACACCTACTCTATGAAATCTTTCTACCTACAAAATTTCATGTTGATACCACTTATACTTTTAGAGTTATGTCCCGGGCAAAGTTCAAAGTGTAAAATAAACAAAGGGGGATAATTCAAAAATTAGGCAAGGCAGAGTTATGGTTCTTGTGCACTGCACACCTACAAAGAGATCTATCTACCTACAAAGTTTCATGTTGATACCTCTTATACTTTTAGAGTTATGTCCCGGACAAAGTTCAAAGTGTAAAATAAACAAAGGGGGATAATTAAAAATTAGGCAAGGCAGAGTTACAGTTCTTGTGCACTGCACACCTACTCAATGAGATCTATCTACCTACAAAGTTTCATGTTGATACCTCTTATACTTTTAGAGTTATGTCCCAGACAAAGTTCAAAGTGTAAAATAAACAAAGGGGGATAATTCAAAAATTGGGCAAGGCAGAGTTACGGTTCTTGTGCACTGCACACCTACTCAATGAGATCTATCTACCTACAAAGTTTCATGTTGATACCTCTTATACTTTTAGAGTTATGTCCCGGACAAAGTTCAAAGTGTAAAAATAAACAAAGGGGAATAATTCAAAAATTAGGCAAGGCAGAGTTACGGTTCTTGTGCAATGCACACCTACTCAATGAGATCTATCTACCTACAAAGTTTCATGTTGATATCTCTTGTTGTTTCAAAGTTATGTCCCGGACAAATAAGGGGACGGACGGACGGACGGACGGACAAGGCGGCGACTATAAGCTCCCCCGAAATTTTTTGGGGAGCATAATAAAACAGAACTATGGCATAGTGGATATTACATAAAAACGGCTTGAACAAGTTACATTACAAACTGCATTCACTTTGTATGTTAGAATCATGATACTCTGTATTGTGATACAATCAAAATATTTGATACATTCTCATCATTCAACTATTTTAAAAAAAAAGAAACAAAAAAAACAAGCGATAATATTTGTAAAAGTAAAACTGATCTGATTTATAAAGTCATTTTTATTTCAGGAACAAGATTAAACATCAAACAGAATGGTAACAGTTTTAATTTTTAGGTCCAAAGTTCCTTGGAAGGATCTTGTAGTTTAAGTTTTCTATAATCTTCCTTAAACAAATTACTACGTCCTCTCATTGCATATGCTTCTCTATCCCATTCCCTTTCCAACAAATGGGATAATACCAGAGCGACAGGTATGCCAAGGGTCATGGCTGTCCACGTTTTCCAAAAACGCCCAGCAAACATTAATCTAAGACCAGTCCTCATCTGTAAAGAAATAATATATCAAATATATCTATTACTTTATTTCTCACATTTCAAGCATGTTGTACTGCCCTAAATAAACTAGATAGAACTTTGATAGAAGCTGCCTTTGAAAAATTGGAAAAAATACTTTCAGCGGGATAAAAAACATAAAGAATTCCTAATAAAACCAAGATTGCATTTGTGAAAAAATGCTATGCACATGCATAATTACAAAAGAAAATATTAGGAACAGAAGATTTTGTTTTTGTTTCTATACAAACAAGAATATGTAACAGAGTTACCAATGTCCCCCGCCTCAGGAAAGTTTTATATGAAGCATTTCAAAGATTGAGATATGGATCTCAAACAAGAGGGCCATGATGGCGCTAGATCCCTCACCTGACCCATTGAACTCATCCGAACAATTACCTAGACAAGCATCCTGACCAAGTTTCATAACAAGTGAGTCAAGAATGTGACCACTAGAGTGTTAACAAAGTTTTTCCAAATTTGGGCGGTGTGACCTAGTTTTTCATCCGTGATGAGCCATGTTCGATCTTGACCTAAAAATCATCAAAACAAACCTTCAGACCAATTTACAGGATATTTGGATCAAAACAGTAGCCACTAGAGTGTTAACAAGGTTTTTCTTTTTTATAGCTCCGGTGACCTAGTTTTTCATCAGAGATAACCCATTTTCAAACTCATCCGAGGTATCAACTAGATTAGCATCCTGACCAAGTTTAATGATGACTGAGGCAAAAACGTGACCGCTACAGTGTTAACAAGATTTTTCTATTTTTAGCTCCTGTGACCTAGTTTTTCATCCCAGATGACCATGTTCAAACTCATTCGAGCATAAGCATCCTGACAAAGTTTGATGATGATTCAGGCAAAAATGTAACCGATAGATTGTTAACAAACAAGTGTGGACAGACGATGGACATTCAACAATCCTAAAAGTTCACCCTGACTGAGCAAGCTCAGGTGAGCTAAAAACAAGGGGGCCATTGGCCCAAAATTGCTGACCTGAGGACAGACTGTTATTTGTGTGAAAGCAGTATAAGCTGGTGTTTATTACAAGAATTTGAATAATGTTTGTCACTAGACCAAACTTCATACAAAATGTAATTTTACTTTTACTACATACTTCATCCTAATTTCATAGATGTACAGCAAAAGGAAGAAAGTAGGTCACTAGGTCAAGATATAAGTCATTTGATACCAAATTTCAGTTCCATACCTGAAATTGTGCAAATGGTAAATATGTGATAGCTGTGAATATAAACAAGAGGGCCATGATGGCCCTGAATCATCAACCACATCCGAGCAATGTCTGCATCCTGACCAAATTTGATGACAATGGAGTCAAAAATTTGAACTCTAGTGTTTCCATATCTGGGCAGTGTGACCTAGCTTTTGACCCCAGGTGACCCATATTCAAACTTGACCTAGAAATCATCAAAACAACATTCCTGACTGATTTCCAGGAAATTTGGATCCAAACTGCAGCCATGAGAGTGCAAAGAAGCTTTTTCCTATTTCTAGCTTCTGTGACCTAGTTTTTGACCGGAGATGACCCATATTCAAACTTTACCTACAAATCATCAAAACAACCTTCCTGATCAATATTCAGGATATTTGGATCAAAACTGCAGCCACAAGAGTGTTAACAAGCTTTTTCTATTTTCAGCTCCTGTGACCTAGTTTTTGACTGGAGATGACCCATATGCGAACTTAACCTAGAAATCATCAAAACCACCTTCCTGACAAATTTCCAGAATACTTGGATCAAAACTACAGCCACTAGAATGTTTAAAAGATTTTTCTATTTTTAGCTCCTGTTTACCCAAATGATTGTTGTGTCCAAGTATTAAACAATTGTCAATGTTAAAGTTTCTGGAAGGTAACAACAACCTGACTGTAGCAATAGATCAAAATATTTCTGGGAGAAAGCCAAGCTTAAAAATTATGAATCATATTATACCTTATTCAGTTAAGTTGTGCTCACGTCTTTTATCTTCAAGGTCTTGCTTAAGTCTCGCTAAAGTTTCCTTGCGCTTGTTAATGTCCCAGCGTATGCTTACTACAAGGGCAGTGACAAACAGAGCCGACGGGATGAATGGCTTAATAGAAGAATACAGGCCAGCCATCAAAACTGAAATGAAGAGAATAGTATATTATTTAGATTTCATCATCCAGTTAGATAACATTTGAATGTCAAACACTGGTTAAAACCGACCCATTCAAAATCTATCAGTGCAAAAAAAAATTTATATGAAAAAGTTCATAATTTTTTTTTAATATCTTTTTTTCTTAACAAAAATAATCTGAACCTTTTTGTGTTTAATATCAAGTTTGGTATTACCAAAATGAATGGGAAATGAAGAAAATTGAATTAAAAGCCTATACCAGATATTAAAACAAGTTTCAAATGAAAAATACTGCAGTTCACATTAGGGCTGTCATTGACAATTTTGTATCAATATATCTAGAGACAAATATCGACGATATAATATCTAGAGAAAAATATCGACGATATATCGAATTTAACAGTATATATAATGAAAAACATTCAAATATGTTTTTTCAATTGGAATCATGGTATTATGGCTTATGCATGCTTGTATTAGGCCTAGTCATTACAAATACTAACAAGAACTGTCGGAGGACAGTAACGCTCGACTATTCGAAAATTTGTCACAAGGGTGTTTCATTGAGTATAATAATGCTTACCTATATGAATACATAAAATTGTCCGAAAAGGTACAAACCCTTCAAGTTTCAATACATTCCTTCAGTAGTAATGGATATACAAGCTTACACACAAAAACTTAACCAAGAATTTCTAAGTCGAAAAAGGGGCATAATTATGTAAAAAAGCAAATCAGAGTTATGGGACTTGTGCCAATCATCTAAGATAATCACAGAAAACAAGTGTGTGAAAGTTTCAATCCATTCCCTTAAGTAGTTATGGAGATACCAGCTTACACGCAAAAACTTAACCAAGAATTTCTAAGTCGAAAAAGGGGCATTATTATGTAAAAAAGCAAATCAGAGTTATGGGACTTGTGCCAATCATCTTAGATAATCACAGAGAACAAGTGTGTGAAGTTTCAATCCATTCCCTTCAGTAGTTATGGAGATACCAGCTTACACGCAAAAACTTAACCAAGAATTTCTAAGTCGAAAAAGGGGCATAATTATGTAAAAAAGCAAATCAGAGTTATGGGACTTGTACCAATCATCTTAGATAATCACAGAGAACAAGTGTGTGAAGTTTCAATCCATTCCCATCAGTAGTTATGGAGATACCAGCTTACACGCAAAAACTTAACCAAGAATTTCTAAGTCGAAAAAGGGGCATAATTATGTAAAAAAGCAAATCAGAGTTATGGGACTTGTACCAATCATCTTAGATAATCACAGAGAACAAGTGTGTGAAGTTTCAATCCATTCCCTTCAGTAGTTATGGAGATACCAGCTTACATACAAAAACTTAACCAAGAATTTCTAAGTCGAAAAAGGGGCATAATTATGTAAAAAAGCAAATCAGAGTTATGGGACTTGTGCCAATCATCTTAGATAATCACAGAGAACAAGTGTGTGAAGTTTCAATCCATTCCCTTCAGTAGTTATGGAGATACCAGCTTACATACAAAAACTTAACCACAGGGACGCCGACGCCGACAAATGGGTGACTGCATTAGCTCGATTATTCTGCGAATAGTCGAGCTAAAAACTAACAGAAAGATTGCTTTTTTCTGTTATTTTTGTCACTGACATTTGAAAACAGAGTTTAAAGTTCAAGTTAGCCAAGAAAACTGGAAAAAAGTGACTTCTCTTATTAGGCAAAATAGAGAGGTATATTCACCAACAGAAATAAATAAATTTTAGCTTGTATCGATATTTGAAAGTGTGTATCAATATTGTATCGGATGATGAATATCGATGATATATCAATAACACGATATTCAATGACATGTTTTTGAGAGGTAGGAGGGTTGTAGAGTGGGTGAGTGGGGGGGGGGGGGGGGGGGGGGGGGGGGGGTAGTGACCAATCAACGCGCCTAACACCTATGGATGTTAACTGTCTTGGGAGTGAAATGTCTGTCTACTATCTAACATACTGATATTGGACTAACTTTGCACAGAGGTCGGTCTATTTACCCCCAAGACACCCCAAGATAACCCTGGGACAGAAAGATACACATTTTCAGTCCCAGGATTACCCCAAGACACCCCAAGAAACTTAAATATTGCGTAAGTCAAAGTCACAGGCTTGTCAAATGCTCATTCGAAGATGAAACATCAAAGTAAATTTTAAGTACCCATGCCAAATTTCTTCCAACATAGAATGCTAAAGGTGATTCCGCTTTGTCAGCCATGTTTGTTTTCACCAAATCTGTCCAAAGTGAAAGTAGGCCAAAATTCATATAACAAAAAAGATTACAATGTAAAATGATAAACCATAAATTTGAAAGTACACTTCCAGGTCTATGTTTTAAAGACTATTAAAAACAGAAATAAAAATGATAACAATAAGAATATTTAACTTGAATGTGCTACATTTCAGAAGACCAAGTTTAATCTGTTGTCAAGTTTTATGCACATTTCATGAATGGCAAATTCCAGTTTAAAGTCTGTTTTAGTGCAGACAAATGCTATCAATAATCAATGTCTTGATATCTCTTCTTAACAAAGATTATTTCAAACAATACGATTACGTACAGGTACACTGCCAACTTTTTCAATTTCTGTTTGTAAGTGATCATATCATACATGCCATATCCCCTACCGGGGGATAAAAACCCCCGATTTTCGACCATGTCTCCCGATCTCCCGATGTGGGATCGAAAACCCCCAATTTTCAAAAATTCAACCAACAAAAAAATTTAAGCATCATTTTTACCAATAAACATAATTAAACAATAGACTTAAACAACTTTTACAACTATATATGCCAGAAGTAATATTTCCCCATTAAACAGCAGGATAATTGTATTGTTAGTTACTCCGACACACTTCAGCTGTCAAGGAATAACAAATCATTCATGTATGACAATTCTCCTTTGATAAACCTGTCAATCAGTGTCAGTATTGCAGGTGCTTAACCAATGACAGCGTCCGATACTGAATGTGTGACGTATCAATTTTTGTTGGGATATGTAACCCCGCCTTGAGTTTGTTGTCGGCATTGGGTCTTTGAAGTTGATAAGTGCAGATAAAAAAATAATGATCAGGCAATAGAAACTCAAAGAATCACAGATTAGCAATGTTTGAAACTATTATTTTTTATATTATGTATTTCTTATTATGTAACTGTGATCTATGTTGTTGCAAAAATAATATAAACTAGCTTTGTCTCACGGTAACCAACAAACAGGAGGGATTGACAGAGGTAAAATCCGTTTCAATCAGATAAATAATAAATAATACCTGTTTTAACACCCAAAGGGCCAAAATAATTAGGTCCAATTATTATCCAGTAGTCAGTACACTCCAAACAACCTCTACACAACCCTTCATCAATTACACAGTTTACATTAGTCCTAATTATAAGACCTATACGTAACCTATTTCATATTTATCATTCATTAATCTGATATTTTACATTTTTCATTTTCTATGTTACGTTAGGTCTTAACAGATCTTTGCAAAATCGTGTAGCAAAAAAATTGACATTAGACATCGATTTAGATCTAATGAATTTAAACAATTAAAACAGCGTGTATTTACATTAATTTTGACCTATTTATGAACAAAACTAAAAAATAAATACCTTTTAACAAAATAATTGAACTGTCACATCCGAAAAGTCATGATTAAATCCTCTCATTTAATTAAATTCCTTGTACAGCCGATATACAAATGGCCGCCATACAGTGCGCGAAATCTGATTGGCTAATTCAAATGCAAGCGTTTAAATGAGTCCAGAAGTTTCTAACAGAATATTTTTTCAACGAAATAATTGCCCATGCACCGTCAGTGTGTTTCGAATATATTTTTCCGTTTAAAAAATTGGAATCAATCTGTAAAACGCTTTACTTAACCAGTATGGCCGATGAGCAAAATAGACTGATATTTATATTTTATTTTTGATTGATAAGTACATTGTTTGAAAGTTTTTGTTAATGATAGACCATGCAATTGAAAGAACAGAAGATAAGCTTTTGAATAAAGCTTGAAAGGCAAGTCAACAGACATTTTTTTAATTTTTCAAAATGCTACGCGTTTATGAGCAATAACTATTAGACGTCAGGCTTGACCATCATAAAACTATAACAAGCCTGTAACGTCTAATCTATTGGACTAAGTTTACATGTACATACAGGTATCAAGTGACGTAGCGTCTAGACTCCCTACTTCCATATATGGTAAGCATGATGCAATCGATGTGTGTTAACAAAGTGAGGTGTGAAGTACATAATGACCTGAGTAAACTGGATTAAGATTTGTGTCAGATTTTTTTTTTACTGTTTATGAAGTGTCAACGGAAAATTTTTAAGGCAGCATTTTTTTATTTCATCTTTCTATGCTACAAAAATTCTCTGTGAAAATGTTGATACCTTTCATTTAAAGAGAAAAATCTTTACCTTTCATTTAAAGAGAAACAACTTTGGCTGTTAAAGTATATTTATTTGAATGATTTTGAATGCATCATTTGTACTAAACTGATTCAATATATATCTGATATAAAAATGTATTTTATATGATATACATGCAATTAATTATGTTTGTTTTACAGGGATTCTTATTTTCTTTACATCAAATATTTACAGTACCTATGTTTATTTGCAATTGTTTACATATTATTCCTTCACAGTCATGTATGTTAAAACTTGAAAATATCAAATGATCTTGTAGAAATGTTAATTTTCATAATAAAATGGGGGAAATTTAATTATACATGTATGTTTGCATTGTTGTACAATTACGACTGGTTTGTGCTTGCTTAAAAATCCCCCTACTTTTGGTCCAAATCCCCCTATCTGGGTGGCTTGAAATATGGCATGTCAATTCATATAAATTCTGAAAAACTTTATAGTAATTTTCTCCTTAAAATTTTTATTTACTAAACAATCTATATCCTAATATATGTTTTAAATAGAGGGCCGAGTTGACCCGTGCCGAGTTGGTTTAGGGCCGAGTTGACACTTTACATTTTACCATACATTGTGAGCTTTTATATGGTAGACAGACGTTTCACACCAAGACGGTTCACACCAAGACGTTTCACTCCCTTTTTATACCAAGTGTATTACAGCATAATTATAAATGTTAGTAATATCAGTATCACGTTTCGAAATGTACAAAAATTTGGACCGAAAAGTATGTGGTCCGAAATGTGCATAACTCGAAGACTTTCAGCAACGGCGGAGTAACCTATAGCAATAACTTACTCCAAATAATCTCACCAGTGGAATATGAAAATGTCAGTTTAACACAAGCTTCTAAATATTAACAAACTTCTTATGTAATCAACAAAGTAGCAAGCTATCACATCCTTTCATAACACACCAACTTACCAATGTCAAACTAGTCTGGATTACCTGCCCTTTTCTGCACTTTTGTGACTGGTTTTGGGTTGATCCTTTCCGCGGATATTTACCGCTTAAATCTCTATTATTTTGTTTAAGAACAACATATATTGTGTATATAGTTAATATATATACATTGTATATATTGTTTGGTTTTATTAACCTGTCAATTCCATACTAATTACACGGTCAATGCACACAATATATTAATCTTCGAAAGATTTTCGGTAATTTCCGTGAGATGTACTCAGTGAGATTTGATTAAATATAGTTTGTGCCTATGGAGAAATTATACTGAGCGGTATAGCGGAATAGGGTAAGCTACAGATTAATGATTTCTTTTTGATTTAATATGTTTAGCAATTAAACTCATTTTAAATAACATGCTTTCAGAATTAAAATTTATAATGAATTCGGATTAAAATTAGAAAATGTCGTTTCAATGGCGTTGAACACAATACAAATTGAGACAATGTTTCTTAGTTGATTCATATAATTATGTGTAGACAATATTGGAAGCACTCGGCCATTTTCATGAAAATATACTGCAGAAATAAAGAAAAAGAGTAGGCCTTAAAACAACGGCAAAAGTAGGGATCGAACTACAGACCCCTAATATATTAGACAATCACTCTATACTGTCTGTGCTATCGCGGATTTGACATGACCTATGCATTAAGCTGGTGTGACTTTTCAAAACATTAGTTATTTACTCCATATTAATTCTCGTAAACAGACTATATTAATTAGTTGTTTTAACTTATTTTAATGCCCCAAAAAATGGGGATGCATAAAGATTTTGTAGCAGCCTTCCGGCCGAACTTTTTCTGGACCATACTGTCCACGGGCGGTTACAGAACAGGGTATTCTGGGGGCTGGCATATGGGTTAAGGATTTTGACAAAATCAAAATCAAATGCAACAGGCGGATATTGCGTATGTTTGAAGATTGGGTCAGCATCTTGTTCATCTGATAAAAATTGTAATTAATGTCGTTTATAGCTCATCTTATGAGTGGTAATGTACTTTTCTTATATATATGTGGTGATTAACTACCGTTTTTGTAAATATCTAGATGATAATTAAGACTTGAATTAAGATAAACGTATGTGATTGGGGTGGGTCTTGGGATCCAAAGACTGAGAAAATGTTGAAATATGAGATAAAAATTGTGTGATTTCCTTTACTTTCTAGTGCTGTTTATGGTACCTTTTGGATGGTTTAACATCACATTGTATTTTGTATAGGTTAGTGTTTGCAGGGTCTTTCCAATATAATTCCCCTGCATGGTGTTTAGTAGTAAGCATTTACAAAATAGCACTTACCAATGTATGCGTTGATGAGAATAATGTCAAACACTTGATCAATTTATTCATCTGAACAGAGACATAGATAACAGAGATGGGCAACTTCCTAGCCAGTTAAAATATCACGCGTGCCTGATAAACTTAAAACTTGTAGCAAGTAAAACTTATTAACCAAATATCAAAATCAGGAAAAACAATACATTTTCTGAAAGCTTATGCATTTGTCTATGGCTGCAGATAAAAATATTTACAGTTCCCATTTAAATAAATGTTACATTATTTTTTAAAGAGAACTACTATAATATTTTTTGTTACAAAACTATTCATATGACAAAAAACTGGCTCAGTGGGTATGTTCTGCCATGTTTTTCTAAGTGAAAGGCATGGAAAGTTACCAATATTTTAACATGCAGCAATAGATAAAAGATTTACCTTTCAAATGGTGTATAATATTAAAGATATACTATGCTCATCTTTGGGTAAAATATTTTTATCTTAGAAATGTATTGAAATCCATGAAATTCTTACTGAATAAATTTAATTTGAATAAAATAATGAATAAACTATTTATAGGAAGCTGCATTCCCTATTACGGGTCAAGTAATGTTGGTCCTTTCTTAAAAATTTGCCAGTTTTTAATAACACTATATATTCATATTGTGACCACCTATAGTGTGTAGAGTTCAAAACACAACATATCTACTTTAAATGAAGTCGAAACATGTTTATTTTATACATACAAAGAGACTGTGTAACAATTATTAATATTTTTAAAAATCAAATTTGATTATAGTATACCTTTAAAGGATCAAATGTACATCCATTAAGTTTTATTTGCTACAAAATGCCTAATTTTTCACTTTTTGATAGGCATGAGTGATATTTCAATGGAGTATATAGGAGCTGCTTATCTCTGTTATCTATGTCTCTGGTCTGAATAATAGTTTTTTTTATATATATTCATTATATATTTTATAGATAATAGCGATTATCCGAAATAAAGTATTATCAAAATACTGCCTTTGTATTGTACAAATGATAATAATAATTTCAAACACTAATATTCAATAAGAATTTGTTCCGTCAATGAATCCATTTTAGATATTTAAGAGGTCAGTACAATTTAAAACTGCCATAAAAATTATTTTAAGCAAATGACCAATCATTACATCTTAATAAAATTTTTAGTAAAACTAGTCATTAAAACGCGATTCCTTTAATATTGATATTTTTATGAAACTTGCCACCTTTTTAATTTACAAATCACAATTTTCTATTTCTTGAGGGCTTTAGCCGTTTATATAGGGCCATATAACCTGTCAACAATCTTTATAACTAATAATTTAAACGTCATTAATATCCAATGAATAGCGACGTTACAAACGTGCAGTATTATAAAAGGTCATATAACCTTCCAGGAACATGCGTGCAGTATTATAAATACATATATATAACCCCGGCACTTGATAAATATTATTTTTAACGTTAATTTTTCAAAAAAAAAACAACAAAAAAACACACACACACACACACAAACAACAACAAAAAAACAAGCACATGGCAACTTAGTAATATAGGAACAGGACATTCTGCGGTGATTTTTTTCAATTTTATAAAGTTCTTCTTCTTCTTGACCACGGGCCACTGACATTGGAAAGATTTTTGAAAAAAAATGTTTAGATATCAACAAAAATAGATAAAACATATGAAATGTAATAATGAAATATTGATGCTGATTTTCCAGTTATTTTTTACTTTAAAAATGTAAATGTTGACTTTATCTACTATTGTATGGTAAAAAGATTGTGTTTTGTATACCTCATTAAGGACATAAAAGATACCAGTTTCCAATTTCATAAATAAAGATAGCTAAAGTCTTTGAACAAAATGTCATGATATATGATTATTTTTTTCATATGCAAGGGATGATCCAGAATTACCCCGGAATTGGTTTATAATTCTGATAATTTTTATAATTTCTTTGTAATAGAAAGAACACCGAAACACGAGGCTATCTGATTTGTACGAGGGGGCGTAGCCCCCGAGTATTAATCAGATTGCCGAGTGTTTTGGTGTTCTTTCTCTTTTGTATCATAGTCAAACATAAAAACACGTTCCCTGTTGTCACAATATGAAACCCCGGCAAAAATGGACCAATGAACGAACATCTGAATATGATATTTCTGTCGCTTTCCCTTTCTCTGCCGTCACAATATGTAAACCCCAGCAAAAATGAGCCAATCAATGGGCATGCTCTGGAGTGCGGGTAACTAATACCCGCACTCCAGTTAACGCACTGTGCATGTATATGTATACGATTTAACCCTGACACATTTTCAACAGAAAGGTCTCCAAACTATGATACAATTTTGATTTATACCTGCGCAAACATTGATAATTCATCTAAAAAAAGTGCAAAATATTATTGATTTAATGGTATCCAGTGCCGTCTCAGGCCGCCTTAAATAACCATGAAAACGCTACAGCGGTACAGCTCAAAAACTGCGACGTATGTTGAAATTTTATAATGCATCCATAAAAAAATGGATCTTGTCCAAAGTTTTCCGGAGTTTGGTGTAAAAATCGTAAAATTTCATGTTAGAATTTTCCATCAAGTATCAACGGTTTGTAATTGCGACGTTTATTTATTTGAAAACGTCATCATTGAGGCGTCCTGAAAAATGGCATTTTCACAAACATTTCTAAACAGTTCGAATAGTCTGCTTTATGAACATAAAATATGACAAATGAAATCCGGCACAAGTATATTGTGATTCAAACAAAAGTTTTCGAGTGGTATTTTTCAGACAGTTTGAGCTAATCTTAAAGATAATACATATTGTTGGCGGGATAAAGGAATACACAAAACGATAACGTTCACTTGAAAAAGACAAATATGCTGTCATGTGCGGCCTTGCAGAAATCGTAATGCCGTATTTTTTTTACAAAATTTTAATTGATTATATCTGAGAATTACTAATTTAAGTGTTTAATCTATTTATCCTAAACGTATCCTTATAATGATTGGAATTTAATAAATCTAAGTCGACTGATTCATTTGCTATCTAACTAAGGAATAATTACTGTTCTAATAAGCGAAAACAACAACATTTTATTTGTTTTCGTACATTTAATTTGTGTTTTTATCATCTAACGTTACCTTGGACATTCTTTGTTTAATTAAATGATTAATAATATTGTGGTTCGGACCGGAATATCCGTCCCGAGGGGACCCGCCCATGGGCGGGTTCCCGAGGGACGGATATTCCGATCCGAACCGCAAACATATGTTAGATATTTTTTCTTGCATATTCTGCCATATTATTTCATATTTAAAATGGTTTACCTCAATATGATATATGTTCATGGAAATTAAAGTCATTTCATCCATAACTATTTTCTAACAATAGCGTATGAACTTACAACTTAAATAACAACGGCGAAATGACGTCATCCTTAGCACATATTTCCCTTCTAAAACGACGTCATTTTAACGCGGTTCATTCATAAAGCGCGCTAAAATGACGTTGTTGTTTGGCACGCGACTCATCTGGCACCCCCCATGCCAGATGAAATTTCCGGCATGGGTAAAACTCACGGAAACGCCAGTCTGATATGCAAGAAATAAAGAAGTAGAACATATTTTAAACCTTCAACTTTAAGATAAATTATGATTGTTTACAATCAAATCAAACAACAGTTCAATAGTCATAGCTTCGTTTACAATGCTACATTTTTCAACAAAAGGACTCCTTATGGTATAAGAACATAATTATTCACCCAATGGGTTATAAGGCATCAAACTTATATAGCACACAACGGCAAATACTTTGAAAACATTTAAGTACAAATGTGCATGTACGTTTCAACGTCACTGCTTGTACATGCACTATTGTCTGAATGACCGATTGTCAGTTATCACCATAACACCATTCAATTAAATTAGGGTCATGTCTCAAGTTCAAAGGTCAAGGTCACACTTATATGTCAAATGTGATGATTGTGAATAATTTGTTTGTTGATAGCTTTATGCCATTCATTGGTTGACTTTGAAATAATTATGCATAAATATGCCGTTTTGTACTGCCCATTTCTGTCATTCGATCAGTGACAGATTTTGTAATAATTTGGCTTAAATATATGATTCTTTAAAAAAGATTTGACAAGTTTGTCGCGTTAAGATCAATAAAGGTTTCTAAGGTTTATAGTTTCATAAAAGTACATCGATGGTTATATCCATGCAGCAGAGACGTTAAAATACATATTTATCATATACTTATAAATGAAATATTGAGAAATATTGATGAAATAAAATGCGTATTTTCATTTTCCGTATTTTCACTGTAAAAATTTATTTTCACTGCAGTGAAACATATTTTTGCGTATTTACACTGGTGTCTTGCCGGACTAATTTCTTCTAAATTCTGCCAGTACGCAAAATTTAAGGAAAAGTCTTTAAAATTGTATTGTAAAAACCAACAGCAAAATGTATTAAATAAACAGTAAATTCTAGTTTTTTTTTCTATAAATACAAAATTTATTTTCATCTTGTGGTATGAAAATCATGATATTTCACTCGTGGCGATATATTTATTTTCATACCACTTTACGAAAAAAAAGTTTCTGTATTTATATTAAAAAAAACTTGAATATCCTCTATTTATATGTCTCTGCATGCAGTCAATAATTCTGTCATTTATAAATGGATTTTGAAATAGCTACTGCAGTAGGCATAGTTCTGCGGCCACGCATACGCCAGGTTGACAGTTTGTAAGGTGATAGTTATACTTGAATGTCAAAAGAGTACATTGATGGTTGTGTCTGGTCATAATTATGTCTTTATCATTCATTCATTCATGTCTGCTTTTTGAAATCATTTGGCTTACTGAGAATTCTAGGAACTATTTATAAACGTTACAGTAGTGTTTCTACATTCTTTTAACACTGCTTTTCCGGTAATCATGCTTTTCATTCAGGTCTTGTTCCTCTACTGGGCCCTTAAAGTCATTTGTCTGTTTCCAACGCGTTTCGCAACGATAAGTTCTTGTTTTAAGAAATATTTTTGAACAATCCAAATTAATTAAAAATATTTATTATATACTTACAAATGAAATATTGAGAAATATTGATGAAATAAAATGCGTATTTTCATTTTCCGTATTTTCACTGTAAAAATTTATTTTTCACTGCAGTGAAACATATTTTCCGTATTTTCACTGGTGTCTTGCCGGACTACTTTCTTTTAAATTCTACCAGTACACCAAATTTAAGGGAAAGTTTTTCAAATTTTATCGCCAAAAAGAGAAAAATGTACATAATAAACAGAAAATTCAAGTTTTTTCTATAAATACATGATTTATTTTCATCTTGTGGCATGAAATTTACCATATTTCACTCGTGGCTACCGCCACTCATGAAATATTTATTTTCATACCACTCGGTGAAAATAAATCATGTATTTATAGAAAAAACTTGAATATCCTAGATATTTAATGGGGCGAATGGGTCACTGAGATGGGGCGAGTCGTTATAGGGCGAGTTACTCTTGTTTTATATTATTTCGTTACTTATTCTCATATCTCATTCTTAAATATGCGTTGATACACTGAAATAAGTTTTTTCCTCTACATTTTATTTTTGCGAAAAAAAAGCTAATTTTCGATATCCGGGTATACCGGACAATTTCATACAACATTTCTAAATACAAGTAAAGAAAAACATAACCAGTCGAGGTAAACAAATATGGTGGACAAATGAATTTTTGTGGAGTACATCAGCTAAAAAATATTGCGCTAGAAGCTTTTGTCATGTCACTGTTTTAAAACTTTGTATCATAGATTTATATATTACATGTAGGTTAAATTTCTGTATGTTTGTTTATCATTTCCCTTACAGTACTATGAAATATTAAAACTTAACTAGTAAGCAAAACTTTCTTGTTTGAACATGTTAACCATTTCTAACTACTTTAAGAAATTGATAAATGCACAGATTATTTTGTGAATAAACTTTACAGATTTGAATTTATGCATAATTTCAATTTACTTTATCATTCTGGTAGATTTTTAGGGAATAGTCGAAAATGATAAAAATCTTTTCACAGTGAAAGGCTATTCTCTCCCTTACCAGTTCCTTCCCCTGACGGTTTTCCCCCAAACCATTTCCTCCCCTGACAGTTTTGCCCCAGACTATAATCTCCCTTACCAGTTCCTCTCCCATACGGTTCTTCCCCCAAACCATTTCCTCCCCTGACTGTTCTGTCCCAAATTTGATATAATCATCATATATGCAGACAGTTCTCCCCCAATATTTTGTAAGATATTATTTTAGTTTTACAAGATTTAATTATATTTCATAAATTATGAAGATTGTTTAAATGAATGTAATAATGTTTAAAAGAATTTTCCAGACAGGCAGATGCTTTTAAATGGTCCTGCTTGCTATAGAAAGGAGAAACCCTGATAATGTATAACATTAACACTAAAAAAGGGATGCTTAGTCGTTAGAAATGCTTTTTGATTGAAAATTTTACATCACTTACGTACACTTCAGTATTTATATAGTAGATAAAGAGATAAAACCAACTGAAAATATCCAAATAAAAAATCATCATCAAATTCAAGGTGGCTATTTCTAATTTACTAGTACATAAATAATAATTATATTTCAACTACTAATTAATTTAAGAGTTCTTCTGCTAATTTACTTTGTCAGACAAAACACATAAAAAACTATTAATTGTATGATACGTTCATGTAAAAACATGATGCAATATAACATTAATTAACAGTAGTGTTTGAAATTATTTTTTATCACACACCCGTGCCGATTTTGCAACTCCGTAAATATGGTATTGCACGGCCGTGCATATATTTTGACGTGACGTCATTAGCGTTGTACAAACATAGTGTAAAGATGCGCTAAATGTTAGCGTTATACTATAGGCGCGTCAATGAAAAATGACTCTTATTTCACTTTAAATGGTCTTTATTTTGGGTATGTGATAAATAGAATATTAAATTCGTGTAAGTTCATTACTGAATTTATTGCACGAGTTGAATAAAATAATATTATGCTCGCCAGAGGCTCGCATAATATGATTTTATTCAACTCGTGCAATAAATTCAGTATTGAACTTACACTCATTCAATATCCTCTATTTGTCCAATAGGATTGCAGAATTTCAAATGAGTTGTAACACATTTACTTTGGTAAATCGACAAACTGTTAATCAGTCTGGTAAATCAACTGTTTATAAGAATAATTTAATAATAATTGGTTGCGGGGCTGTGCTGCCCCTGACTAATTTAATAATGTAAATACGTACTAATAAACTTTAACCTTTACAAAACTTAACAAAGAATAATCAACAGACTCATAATTAACACATATTATTGTGTAGCAATCTGTTAAATATATTTTTCTAATCTATTATTAACAATAAGCTTACCCATTTATTAAACATCTAAATACATATTATATTTATAATGTATTGATAGAATTAGAAATGGGGAGGAACTTTCTGCACATATGCAGACAGTTCTTTCCCAAAAACAGTCAGGGAGAAAACATCAGGGCAGGAACTGGTAAGGGAGAGAATAGTCTGACTACCATTACGATTTCATGATAAGTTTGTATCATTAGTCCTTTCATTGAAAAATAATGAAAATAATTTGACATGAATTGTGAAGGATAACTATGGAAATAATTTGTTTTAAAATGAATTAATAAAATAATAGCAGATCTGTTCTTCATTTGAAGAATTTTATCTATATACATGTATTGAAGTGATTTTAAAAATGCTATGAATCAATTTCTGATGTTTTACAGATTTTAAGTATATAAATGGCAGAAGTACACATAATTGGACAGATCATCGGTGGATCAGGCTTTCCTGAACACAGCTTATTCTGCAAATGGGGAATAAACACAGGTGAAATGATAGTAGTTTTTTTACACTACAAATATACTAATGCAAAAAGGAAACTGTGCACTTGGTTTTACTAATTTTTCTGACAGGCCTATTCTTGTAAAAACCAAAATCTGGGATATTTATATCCGCCTTCATGATGCAGTATTTTCTGTCATAATCAAAGATAAACGCCACTGTTTTGTTCATGTTAATTGCATAATTCGGGTTTGTTAAATTGTCAATTTTTACTGCAAATGTGTTTCAGTCTCTGAAATTTCTTCACCTCTCCTATGAATCAAATAAATAAAACTAAACAATACTCTTGCTCACAGGGCAAGAGGAACCAGAGTCTCTGAAGATTATGGTTACGAGGATTAATAATCTAGCTTAAGTATGACCGCCTGCCCTTTATTGGGTTTGTAGTCTTGCTCAAATGATTCAGAAAGGTTTTTCTAGATATGCCAAATTGTCTAGCAGTACTTGTAGCAGTTTTAAACCTGTTACTTAAATGCATTGTGTATAGTTTCTTGACTAGCAGTTGTTATCTTTGGCCTACCTTAACCAAATCATCTCATATGCCTCCAGATTGCTGGAAACACTGCCACAGATTGATAATTGTGTTGCAATGGCAGTTAAACTGTCTTGCAACGTCAGTGACACTTCTTCCTGGTGTAGGAAGCTCAAGAGAATGAAGTATAGTTTTCTCGAAGCTGTGGTGTCTTATTAACAAGTCAAAATTCAATATGAAATGTGATGTTTCCGAGTGTAAAAGTTTAGTGAGAAATAAAACATAAAAAACTTATCGCTTGATGTCCGCATGTAAAAAGTTGCATGCCAGCGTTCAAGTCATATTGGGGTAAAATATCTGGTAAAATTTCACTCAATTTACATGTACATGTATGCAATTTGTAGGCAAGTGTGCCAGTACTCAGATGGAAAAAAATCACCCAGTTACTCCGAGTAATCATGAAAATATAGCACAGTTTCTTTTTTGTATGTGTACAATTGCTTTAATGAGACAACTTATGTAAAATAGGTTAATTATAGATAAGTATTTGAAGTATTGAATTTTACTATTGTTTAACAACTGGAAATATTCTACATTGATGAAATAAGGAATTTCTTGGTGGTTTTTTCCCCTGCAAAATCAGTTCTTCTTGAAGAATGAGATTTTATTGTTCATCTTTGACATATTGTGTAATTGTTATTGTCAGGTGGTGCATGGAAGATTTTAGCAGGTGTGAGGGAAGGACAGACTCAGGTAGATAACCCACAAAATCACTCTGCAGCATACTTCTCACACCCAATAGATGTTCACTTTGCTACTAAAGGTTTACAAGGTTAGACTATAATTTCATTATTAGAAATCATTGAAATGCTTAATTGTAGCACTGTAACTTGATAAACAAATTTTTGTTACTTTACTGAGTCAGACGCTACTTGTAATTTGCAATGTGGGCATGTTGAAAAGAAGGAAGGTGCAGAATATACATTTTAGGAAAATAATATTTTAGGCAAAGCTGTATATATTTTTTTTATGTGTCTTTCATGAATTAAAGTTATCTGAAAGTATGAAAAACTTTTTTTATAACCAGTAAATAATGCACATAATATTAAGTTAATCAAGTATTTATTCTGCCAATCAATCATAAAACTGATGTTGTGTGCGAGTGACAAGCCCTAGAGAATATTGTAGATGTTTTGTACTATTTTTTTTAAATATAATTGTAATATGTGACTTGTCTGTATGTTACAAAGTTGAACTTTCTGAAATGTTTTGAAAAGGCTGTTTAATAAGAGTTGAATTACAAGGACTTTAATTATTGTCTGATATATCATAATGTCCTGATTAATACTATATATTATTGGATTTATTAAATTTATCATTTCAGGATGGCCAAAATTACATTTTCAAGTCTGGCATCAAGATAGTTTTGGTAGGAATGAACTGTATGGATATGGTTTCTGCCATATTCCAACATCACCTGGTATACATAATCTCGAGTGTCCAACATGGCGGCCCTCTGGTAGCTATATGGAACAAGTATCACAGAGCTTCCTTGGTGGAGGCCCTCAACTTAAAAACCCAGATCTGATCTACAGTGGAGCAGATAGATACAAACTTCATACTATTGCCATGGGATCTGTCCATTTACAGATAGGTGTGATATTGAGAAACTTTGACAAATTTGGAATAGAATGTTAGCATATTATTACATCAAATGAATTATGTGTACTGGGGGTGTTAGGCAACGATTATTTTACATAGATGAAATTATAAGATGGATGATAGAATGATACTTATACAAAACAGTGTATGAAAGAAAGTTTGAATGTCAAAGATTGATCAAACACATGTTTATAAACCATTATGAGGTAGTATTTAAACTAGGTTAGTGATTATAACGTAGAACATGGGTTGTTTCTTACTTGACAAAATTCATTTTCTTATATCTGTAATTTAAAAGTGTATTTGATAACTGTTACTGCTTTGAATGATGTTGATCAATTTAAATACATGTAATTTATTTGTTGGTAATCTTTGTACTTAAGAGTAAAATGCATGGTAATTACAAATTTTTATGGCAATAATATAATTATTTTTATTGGAAGCTAAAAATAATTTATTATTCATACGCATTGTAATTAAAAGCTCTCCTGACTTTGTTTAACAATAATTTTTAAAATAATTTGTTAAATTTTTGATAAGTGCATTTCAGTTCAGATAAACACTACAGTGAATGCAATGAATGCTTCAGAGAAAAAGATTTCATAGTAAATGTGGCTATCAACTTCCTAGACATTAGTACATTGTAATTTGTAGCAAACACAATAATTTTATATACCAATGATATTCAGGCTATTCATTTCATATTTAAATTTTACAATTGGTTCTTTCCTACATTTCTGTTTGTTAGATTTAAACAAATAGTGACCTGACTTAGATTAATATTTGGCATTTTCAACACCATTTCCTTACACAATTTACATGTAGTATGAACAACATATTCTAGTTCAAGTTCTAGAATTAACTTGCATGTAAATTTTGAATAATTGCATAGTGACATCCTAAACCTTCTGTAAAGCGATGATCTAGGAAAGATTGTTATAAATTATTTTATTATTCAATTGCTAATTTGGAAAAGGAAAAACCTGGTGTAAGTTAGGATTTTGGGGAATCCTGCATTATTTGAAAGAAAATTTCAATTTTGAGGAGGCCTTTTACGGGTCTCTGTCAGAGGCGTAGCTACTATTAGGCCATGTAGGCACGGGCCTACAAGTTGGTCAAGAAATTAACATTTTCAAAAGTCCCAAAAATACCATAAAACAGGCGAGAATGGAGTAGGTAGTGAGTTCAAGCCGTATAGTCAAATCAAGTCTGTGTGGCGCCATGATTTACCACCCTCAATAAAGTATGCCATCTAATCAAAATTCATAGTTTAAAAATTATTGTTTTGATAATTTTCCTTGAAAATACTTTGGAATGTGAATTTTGCTCCTTTTAAACTGCATGAACTTGTTTTTGGCTTCCGGGGGCTAAGCCCCCAGACCCCCTTTTATGTGCCTACAAGTTGAAAAAAGCTGGCTACGCCCCTGTCTGTTATATAATGTAAAAAAACACTGACTGTTAATGATCTGTACCAAATTAAAAGCTAGGCAGACCCATTATACATATTCAGGAAACTGCAGTAGGATGTAATTTATAAATCAAGTCCATAAACTAATAGATATATATTACCAAATCATTTTGTTATATTTGAAAATTTCAGAATGGCTTTAATAAAAATCCATCCAATTTGCTTTGCTGGGTTCGTTGTGTAATTTTTAAACTTATATGTATTGGTAATAACATATTTTCTCTCTTATATTGTTTCTGCTCTTGTATTAGACTGTGTAGTCGGCAATCTTTAGTTTTCTATCGAACACTACATTTATGAACACTGATGATCCTTCAAAAACAACAACAATGTTAATCTATATATGCTAATTCTTTGAATAACTACGGCATTATGTAGTTACCTGGAATATTTGTAGACACTTTATAGTGGACTGTTGACTAATCTTGTTTTGCTCATTCCGTCTTGACCAGCAGCGAACGTACCGGTGAGATAACGTTAGAATATCATATTGCATACTAATGCTGAACAAAACAGAATTATCTTCTCTAAAACCAGATAATGAGATTTTGTTACCGTCTGAACAAACCAATATACAAACAATATTCTGTAATCTTCAGGTACTTATGTTCTGTTAAGTAATGAATTAAAAACTTCTTAAAAATTTACGTCCTCTAAGTAATCCTTGCAATTACATTTCGGTAAGATTCAAGAACTTTTAGACACTAAAAATAATTCACAGAATAAACCATTATTTTTTTTAGAAACCCCCTCTATATAGCAGCTTCTTGGCCATACAAACTCCTTTTATTGAAAAGGAATCACAAACCTCAATATGTTTAGATCTTCTTTTATTTATTCTATCAGATCTTGTTTTAGCGAATGTAGGGACTTCGCTTTGCACACAAAATATAAGTGCAGAAACAAAGAATGAGAACGCATTTTCGAATTCTGTATGACGGACGTATTAGCCCTCCAATTACAAAGAAAAACAAGGATTGTAATTATTTTATATGAAAGTCAGAGCTGCTCTTCTCAGATAAAACCCTGTCTTTGTTCTAGCTCGGGTACCTACGTTGCGCAAAGGGTGATTTCACTTGCTTACTATCGCATCAGCACGTTTTCACCATCATAGCTTTATGCATTGTAGGGATTTTTCGGGGTTTTTTTTTGTTTTTGTTTAAGGACCAACTTAGAAACAAATGCATGCCCCAAAAGTGTCGTTTGGACATTTAATTACTAAAGAATGATATTTTTCTATTTTGTAATAAATAAAACATTCAGAAATTGCACTTATTGGGGAGGCTATGCCGACCCAATGTTAATAACCGTCCGTCAAATCTTACTGCCGCGGTAATCAGGTCAAAAAATAGTACCTTGATTTTTTCTAAGCTGACTCATCACTAATCACAGACATTTACAATATGAAAATATTTTCATTCTTTAATTTCATATCTGCAATTTGTAAAGATAATAATTCTCGATTTTTGTTTATTTTTTCAAAATCACTACTCCGTGACGTTCATACTGCCGCGGTAATCAGGTTTAGGCATACGTACGTTGGTAATAAATAGTTCTGGTATGAAAACCCTTCTATATAATAACTTTATCAATATTTTTTAAACAAAAAGCATAAATGAAAAATTTATAGATAAATGCTTTAATTAGGTGGCAAATATTCTTTATTATTTTTGATAACAATTTTCCAATTACTACGCAGCGACAAACTGTTTATGACGGGTCATTAACTAGAACGTTGCAACACCGTAGTCTTCAATATAATGCATGTTCTTTTGTTGTTATAAACCATTAATAGTCCTTAATATTTATTTTTTTAAAGACAAATAAAAATACAAATAATGGTAAACTGTCGCTTACATCAGAGACATGGATCATGCTTGCGTGATAACTAAGGAAAACTAACTTATTAGTACACCTTAGGAGGCTGTACGCGGAAAACGCTCATTAACCGCTATATCATATAGCTGTTAGTAAATATTTTGCATACATTTAGAACTAAAAAAATTCACTAATGGTGATGAACATATAGTTTGAAACATTATATTCTTAAACCATGTATCGCCGAAAAAAAAACTATTTAACTACAAAATCCGTAAGGACCCTCCCACAAAATTTCACCACAAGATTGCATTTAATATTAGCAAAATAAAAAAAGCAATACTTATATTTTCATCTTACATAATTCATTAATCAAACTTTTAACATAAAAGTATCTTTTAAAAATATGTCTGGCAATTGACAGATCCCTACTCTGATCTTTTATTTGTAAAGGAATAAATTTAAACATGCGCTCTTTTTGTTTAGGAATATTTTGTAGTGAAAGTCTTAATATATCCACTAATCTCATTATTAGAATTAGACAGGTCAGGGATTTATACAACCAGTAGTTTAGTTATCTACGCTCATTTAATCCCAATAGAAACATTCAAATATTTGGGGTAAAAAACATGACCAAAGTACCTAGTAGTCGTTTACCCGGTGGTGATCCCATTAAACTGATTATAGATTCGAATAGAAAACACAAATAGAAACATGTGTTTCGGTACAACAAAAATCGGAAGTAAAGTGAACAGTTAAATGACAGAAATATGTGGTCAAATATGTTTTAACAAGGAAATAATTATTTCAGAGAAAGACGCAAAGATCAGTCTTCAATCAAATGAATGACCCCGTATTGTGTAATTAGAAAGTTTATTCAATTCTAGGGCAACGAATCATAATTTGATAGTCCATGTGTAATAAAATTTTCAATACAGATTATGAAGATACATAAAAATATTAAAGAATAAGAAGCTTTAAAAAAAAAAAAAAAAAAAAAAAACAACGCATATATATACGAATGACTTACAGTCGAGCATCGGAAATTCATCAAAACATATCTTACGAAATTTTAAATTGAAAACGATATTTTGCGCGCGCTGAAGTGATTTATGTTTATTTGAATAAAGCAAAATAAAAAAGAAGTTATATATGTTTGTGTTCTAAAAATAATTGGCGGCATAAGACGAATTTCGTTTTCATTTTACAACACTTGAAAAATTACTACAGAAAATATGTTGTTGTTTTTTTTGTTTTGTTTTCAACAAGAGTGTGTGTTTTAAGTTCATTTATTCTCGGCACCGGAATAACCATATGTCCGAGATTATAGCATCGGGGACGTCTTTTTCAAGCAGAATCTTCCTGGTAGCCATTCTTCGTTCGTTAGTGGTAAAGGAGACGACAGTACTGTCAATGCATCAACTTCCTGACTGACGACAACAAAAACGGCATTCATTAGCCCCAAACCTCCAGAGTAAGTTACGACAGGTCAACCAATCACCTCTGGTACTTGAGATGACTTGACCTTGACCTTCCGTGTGCCTTCTCCGCGACGTGCATACCTCTGGAGGGATTTGGAGAAGTTTCAACAAAAACCTCCAAAAGACGCTTTTTATAACACCATTCATAGCACTGACGCTTCGATGTTCTCATCATATTTGCGGGAAATGGTCGACAAGGAAACCTACGTTTATAACCGCACATCCTGTTAACAACAGATTTACCGCAGTATATATTTCAAGCTAGTGAGGTTTAAAATCTATCGAATAACTACCATAAGTTGGTAAAAAAAAGAAGATATAACTTCCTGATCAATTTTCACTTAGGTTTGATTCAATTTTGAATAAGCTTTGCAGATATGTATTTTTCAAGAATATTTAGCTTTAAATTTATCCGAAGCCGTCAAAGTCAGCGACGAGTAATGAAATTGAGAATAATTTCCTGAAACGTGATTTTATTCGAGATTTGCTTCGGGAGAAGACAACTTTCTGTCCGTAGAGCATGAATATTAATACTCATCACAAGACAGTGTCTTATTGATCTCAATTATGGTACATGTAAATAATGTATAATTTTATGTTCAATTAAAATGTTGCTTAACTTGCAGTTGTTATTATCATTCAATGATATTAAAATGACATAAAGTATTTTATGATGAACAGTCCTAGAATATTTTGATAAGGAACCGTCAGTTGTAAAAATGGTAAATTATGATCTTATATGATGAACAGTCGTCATACCTGCTGGTGTGTCATTTTATAAATGGTTTTTTAGGTTTTTCAAAATTTGCATGATTAACAATCGGAATGTAGACCTCAATGATATGTTCTGGAATATTAACAAAATGAATAGTCAACCATATTAACCATATATATGAATGGCTGAGCGATAAATGGCGCAATGTGCATATCTTCTTATTTAACAGCACATTTTAAGCAAAAAGAAAAGAAACTATAAGCCTGAAACATTCTGTCATAGCCTCCCCATCAGTACATTCAGTGCTTTGATTTTTATTCTTATTTTTATCTTTTTAAGTTCACACTAAAGCAGAAATGGTGATACTTTTTTTTTATCAAATGCCTCTGAATAGTTGTTTTAAATTATGGCAGCATATTTACTTCTTAATTTCTTTGCCATGTAAAATCGTAATGATTAATATATAGTTTATTTAATCAAGAGTTTTATAGCAGCTATTGTTGTTAGCAACTTAAGGACACGGTGACTGACGTGGGTGCTGAGACAGACACCGACAATCCCTCCATATTCTCTGTAAAGTTGATCTACAGTTCAAGAGTATTTCATTACAATAATACGACTAGTACCAAACGTGCTCTCTCAATTGTCGCATTTCATACACTGAGCAAGTGTCTTGACGTAAAGAAGCTATCATCATGCAAAATATTTTAATGGTAAGGTTGTTTCAATAATTTTATGGTCGATTGTTGGAAGATTTGTAACATAGACTGTTTCTCTTATTAAATTTTAACACACAATAATTTTGTGCATGCGCCTTTGGCTCTTGAGGAAATAGTGTATACTAACATAATGGTATTTTGGAATGATTATTTTTCAAAATTTAAACAATTATATTTTATATTCCATGTAGCATCTGTTTAGCTTTACACTTAAAATTGTCTAAAAGACGTTTTCTACGTATCTGCTATCTATTTAGATTTATGTAACGTAAATTCATAACATTACATCGAATTAATCAGCTTTCAGTTTTGCGAAATCCGTAACTTTGAATCTTACAAATTCAGGCAAAGACAAATGTCCTTTGTAACTACAAATTTTTTTACACGTTTCTCTCCCCTTTCCCTCCTTGAGTGAGTCGAGGTAATATTTTACAGATCATATAGGTGAAGTCAACCATGCTATCCCGCATCTTCGGGTGGAGGAAAATAGTTCCGCATGGTTAACGCTGCATCATATTCTGTTTCAGGTCACTTAATCTATGTAATTTAACTTGAGGAAACACCCTATATTAAATTTTAGTTACACCCAGATGAATTTAGAAGAAAATTTCAAACCCTAAACACATTTACCATGTCACGAACAATTTAATATTGTAACTTTTTTGTGGTACACCAATTATATAAGCAGATACTTTGCAAATCATATTACAAATCATTCTAAATCTTTATTTTAGATTATCAATGAATTCAAAACTAGCAAGTTTTATGACCATGCAGCATATTTCAACTTTACTGTAAATAATAAAAGTCACTATGTCGATATTACTAAATTATTCTGTTGTATGATATCATTTGAAGATGTAGCAAATATGTTTTTAAATGATATCTAAAACACTTCTATCTCATGCGTTGACTTTTATGCATGTGATAAACATTTATTTTTCTATAATTCTAGCTGTTCAAAAAATCAAAAGATCTTCATTTCATTTAGCAAGGCATCCTCGGTAACAAAGGCTATTTACCGAATACCACTCCAATTTAATGTAGTAGTATGTACGAACTGAGCAAGGTGTCTGCAGATTTCACTGTTTAAACATAACAACCATATATTACTAATGAAATTAGAAAAAAAGACGTCAAGTCATGATGTTTCAGTTGCAAATAGCAAATAAATGTGTGATTTAAACGATGTAAAGAATAAAGATTTCGTTTTTTATTAAAATATATGAAGTAGAGTTTGACAAGGATATGCCTAGTTACACACGGTTACATCTGTATATGCTTGATCAATTCCTCATTTCATCCATGTATGTCGTTCAACAAATGGAGGAATATAACATATAAAGAGGTATGTTTTTCTTGGTGAATCATTTTAAATCCTTTATGCCTTTTTTCTTGACTATATTTTTAAGGTATTGTAAGAAAAGTTTAATATTTAATCAAATGAACTCCCTGTAAATAATATTTAATCACGGTTTTTAACGTTATCTGGCGATAGTATTGAGTACAACGTTTAATTTATTTTTCTATTCGGTAAATAGCCTGTGTTTAGAATAATTCCCTTTAATAGAACAATATAGTCTGTTTTAGTTTCATTTTTCTCCGGGTAATGTCCTTTATATGTGCAATGATAAGATAGTCATGCAGTCTACATGTATTTTATTTTGTTTATGCTTATTATATACATAACATATTACTATAGGAAACGAAAATCCCTCGATTTATCCTACTTGGCATCCGAACATTTGTCACAGTAATTTGATTGTGTCCTGGTATTATGGAATAAGTAACTACAGTTGGCTACATACAAACGTCAGAAGTAATTTAAATCTAGATAGCAAACTTTATTAATCTTCCAACATATTTTGATATGTAAAATTTTTTCATTTTCAGTGAGTTTCCATCATGAGGTTTTCAAGCGTTTACAGTGTTTATTGTCTGCTGCTGGTAAATATGCCGTTTTAAATACAGCGTTTGCCTTCTACATATATTATACAACTATGACAATGCTTATTAACATAATCATATCTCAAACACGATAGATAAATAAAAACAACAAAAAGTCTGGTATTACATAGTTACACCATTGTTGACTGCAGCCTTCTGGTAAAAAGATTTAAAGATGTGAACACATTTTGTGACAAAAATCGTATTTATACCTGTGAAATTTTCATTTTTTTCTTGAAATTGTTAAATAATTTCAATAATTCTAATAAATCTTTAACTGATAGAAAATATGTTTGCTATTTGAATAACAAAAGGACAATTTAAACATTGTGCAACAAATAACATAGGGTAAGCTAAAAAGGAACTAATTTTGTTATCGCTTCTTGGTCTAACTACTTTTTTTTTTATCTTTCATATTTAATCAGATGCTTAAAGTTTCATCTTAATCTGTGTCAACATTTGTATGAGTTACATTATCAATCAATGTTTCACGTGTATTTGTATTACTAGGTCCGTGAACCGCGACCCCTTCCCCCACCCCTTGATAGACATTGATAAAGTTCCAAAAGTGGATACTGAGAAATTAAGCTGAAACATGCGTCCGCTATGATCAGGTTATGTTTTTACATTTCAGATAGTTGTATGTGTTCATACACAGTCTACAATAAAAGACATCAGTCTAAAAGGTAATTATTTAAATAATACATTTACCATTGTAATCTATATATAAATGAAATGATTTTCGTCTATTCTGAGTAATCTCTATCAATGGACAAATAAAGCTTTGATTGACTGGGTATTCGGTTTTCTTTAATATGGCGACAAAATTTTACATCACACAATATTTGATATATTATTTGATATGTTGACAGGCGTCATTTTACATCACATTTTATTTGATATATTACTTGATATATTGACAGGCGTCATTTTACATCGCACTTTATTATATAATCTATAAATAGCTTTGAAATGCCTTTCCCTGATTGGCTAACAAGCAACTTTTTGTAAAAAATAACAGGTCAATATCAGAGTATATTCACTGTTTTTTTCCTAAAAATAGATTTTCAGAGTATATTCACCGGTTTTTCTTCTAAAAATAGATTTTGTTGCTATTATTCTGAAGAAACGTTCAGTTTAGTGTACATGAGAGTCAAATTAGTCTATTTTAGTTACCGTTTTTCATTTTTAAGAAAAATAGGGATTAGCATGCCAATGGATTTCCGTCGTATGCAATGGCAGATGTGATAAGCCATATAAAAGCTATTTATAGATTATATAATAAAACAGATATGTACTTTTTAGCTGTTGAATATGATGTGATATGTACTGAAAAATTAATATTGACCTCGGCTATATCACTGAAAAATTAATATTGACCTCGGCTATCGCCGAGGTCAATATTAATTTTTCAGTACATATCACATCATATTCAACAGCTAAAAAGTCCATATTTGTATAATATTTGATGTATTATTTGATATATTGACAGGCGTCATTTAACATCACACTGTATTTGATGTATTATTTGATATATTGACAGGCGTCAATTTTCATCACATTTTATTTTGATATATTATTTGATATACTTGATTGACAGGCGTCATTTTGCGTCACACTATATTTGATATATTGAAAGGCGTCACTTTACACTATATTTGATATATTATTTGATATATTGATAGGCGTCAATTTTCATCACACTGTATTTGATATATTATTTGATATATTGACAGGCGTCATTTTACATCACATTTTATTTGATATATTATTTGATATATTGACAGGCGTCATTTTACATCACACTATATGTGATATATCATTTGATATATTGATAGGCTATTACAAGTGCTCACTTCACCCTTCAAATCAATTACGTCTTGAGTTGTTTGTATATGATGTGAATGCACATGCGACAAGATTGAATGCCATTGATGCTGAAGAAGTGGAGATCACATCGTGTGTGATATCTGGTTCAGGAAATATAGTTTCCCCATTTTACGTTACCTCTAAAATCAACATGAACGACGATTCCGAAATGATAAATAGTTGCGGTATGACAAAGGTATATGTTATATTATTGCTGAGAACAATCATGAAAACTAACATTTTATCATATTTTCATACTTACCGTTCATTTGATTATAAATTCTTAAACACACATGTAGAATGGAAACATATTTCTTATGACTTTGCAATATATAGGTAATACTTGTAAATTACAGCGCATGCTCAGGTAAATATTTCACGTGACCAATTTTCTAGACCACATTGTCCATACATTCTTATCTCAGTCTTCTTTTAATATTTACATGACCGCACGTCGTATTATACATTGTATTTTAATTACCTTATATGTTTTCTTATGTTATACATTGTATTTTAATAATCTTACATATTTTCTTATAATATACATTGAATTTAATGATAATATTGTGCATTTTTAAGTTAAACATTGTATGTTAATCACCGTGCGTGTATTCTAAAATTTAATGACCGTGCGTGTCTTCTTATGTTCTATTTTAATGACCGTGCGTGTATTCTTTAGTTATACATTGTATTTTTATGACCGTGCGTGTATTCTTATTTTTTACATTGTATTTTAATGACCGAGCGTGTATTCTTTAGTTATACATTGTATTTTAATGACCGTGTGTGTATTCTTATTTTTTACATTGCATTTTAATGACCGTGTGTGTATTCTTTAGTTATACATTGTATTTTAATGACCGTGCGTGTATTCTTTAGTTATACATTGCATGTATTTTAATGACCGTGTGTGTATTCTGATGTTATACATAGCATTTTAATGACCGTGTGTATTCTTTAGTTATACATTGTATTTTTATGACCGTGCGTGTATTCTTATTTTTTACATTGTACTTTAATGACCTTGCGTGTATTCTTATGTTATACATTGTATTTTAATGACCGAACGTGTAGTCTTTAGTTATACATTTAACAAATAAAACATGGCATTGAGGGCAATATGAAAGTTTACGGACTGGTTGGTCAGACTGAGGAAGGTATATGGCCCGAAGCGCAGCTGAGGGCCATATACCTTCCGAGGTCTGACCAACCAGTCCGTAAACTTGCATTTTGCCCGAAAGGCCATGTTTTATTTGTTATATTATACCGAATTTAATCCTTTTATTCCTTTGTTTTTTGCTGTAATCTTTACAATTATTTGTTCAGTGTGTGAAATATCTCAAACCCTTGTCGGATTCTGTTTTATTATTTTCAAGCGATGCAGCAAAAAATCATGCTCTTCTTTAAATATTGCATTTTATTAATTAAATTAAAACCTGGGAAGAAAAAATATGACCAGATTGATAAAAAAAAAACTGTGTTCATCTCAAAAGTGTCAAAAACCAAAATAAAATGTAAATAATGACCCCCATTAAAAATATACTTTAAGTTAATTATTCTAAGTATATTTTTAAAGGGGTCATTATTTACATTTTTTTTTTGGGGGGGGGGGGGGGGGTTTATGAACACAGTTTTTTTTATCAATCTAGTCATATTTTTTCTTCCCAGGTCCGATACTGGTGCCTGTGATTATATGCTGATGACTTGTGTCTGGTAAAATAAATCTGAAGAAATTCTTTCTTATTATATAAGAAATTCTTTCTTATTATAATGAGTCTTATAAGATTGGTTAATTGACTATAAATTGTCTTTGAATCTTGGCAAGACAGAGTCTATTCTTTTTGGTTTAAGTTTCAATTTAAACTGGGCCTATAGCCTCCAGGTCACATGTAATGGTAGTACTATAAAGTACACATCTTTTGTTAAGTATTTAGGTGCAAACCTGGATCTAATTCTTTTGGCGTCGCCCTTTGATGCTTTGCATCAATGCTTTTCTTGTAGACTACTGTGAACGGGCAAAGGATTTATAACTGGCGGGTTAAAGCATACAGCTACCCGATTGAATACTACCCTAACAACATCGGCTTTATCCTGACACTACAGTGTAACCCTAACGACCTTACAGATGGACGAGTTGAAACGCTCGTTGATATTAAGTAACTATCTTTGTTAATATTTTTTTTCATTTAGAATATGTACATAAGAGTATTAAAGAGTTATACTTCTTCTTCATTTCATGCTATAATTGCTTTATGTTGTCTCAAATAAAAGAAGACGAGCATATGAGTCTCTTTTCAAGATAATTATGTCGACACCAGCATATAGATAAAGACATAGACATACATGATGAGTTATTGCAGCTATAGTGTAAGAAAAACAAACACAACTTGACTTTGTTTAAAAAGAAATTTATTTGATCTTTTTGGCATCAATATGAGAGAGAAAAAGAATAGCCGATGTATTGATTCTGGTACATGTACTTTCTAAAAGTGGGCAGTTAACTGATGATTATATGTACACTGACAGTGTACAATATAATGTATATATGACAGCTCCGCTCATGTTTGTGTACTTGTTTGTACTTTTAGCGTGGACAGTTTATCTGTTTTCCCCGAAAATCTGATTGATCTAACGGGTGTTAACACCATTGCAAGAAACGCTAACATATACTACGTAGCAAATTTGTACCCAGACGGAAGATTGACATCTACAGGTAATCAATATTTAGTTTACTATATATCTACAGGTAATCAATATTTAGTTTACTATATATCTACAGGTAATCAATATTTAGTTTACTATATATCTACAGGTAATCAATATTTAGTTTACTATATATCTACAGGTAATCAATATTTAGTTTACTATATATCTACAGGTAATCAATATTTAGTTTACTATATGCACTGTATATATACTAGAATAAGTAGACAAAATAAGTAAATATATATACAAATGTATAAAAATGAGCAAATAGTATGATAGAAATGTTATATTATTAGTAACAGTATATGATTAAAATTGTCAAAGTTGTATATCACTGAATAGACCAAGACTAATTAAGCATATCTATATCTTTTATTGAGTAAGGAAAATATAAACATGAACGATTATGTAAACTTTTAGTTTCCTGATAAATACATCAACATTAAGCTCAAAAAACTGTTAATATTCTTCATTAATTGCAGAACTAAAAGATGCTAAGGGCTTTGCTCTATATAATTGCTTTGCTAAGACAAACCCTGCCGACCCAACTGACGGACAAAAATTCATAGATGCAAACGGGTAAAAATGAGTTATAAATTATCTATTATTTTCACTGGCTTACTTTAATGATGGATAGAAAATTTCATTTGTTGAATTATATCAAACTTCAGTTAGAAAAATATAAAAGTGTTTTTTTCTAAAAAATTTAAATTTTTAAAAACGTTTTTACCTTTGCAAAAATTTTACAAATGCTACTCGTTTGGGAAACTGCTTTTTGGGTTTTTTAATTTCACAAACATTAACATAATTTTTTGAGAACTTCCTAAATTTTTTGATTTTTAATAAAATTTTTTAATTATAAAATTTATTAAAAATTTTTTGTTATTTTTTAAAATTTTGAAAGATGGGGGCCAGTGACGGGTGCAGCGTTTGCACCCACTACATCGTTCAGACAAGTCACCAATACTGGGAACCACATCAAGCTTGAAGCTAAATTTTCCACGGCGGTTTTGTTGGATAACCGGGACACGATCTATTTCGAATGTGCTGTGAGAAAATGTACAGCAATAAATGATCCCTGTTGTTTGGATGTAAGCTTTGTTCCCTAATTTGTTTTGTCGTCTACAAAAAATAACACTGGTATGCTTACAATGTCCATAGTGATTGTTTTGAAGAATAAGAAATCATAAAATATTAAGTACATGTATTTTTTACTTGCTCGCTAAAATCTTTGTGAACGGTTTTAATTAGCTAAAGTTTCAGCAAGTCATTAAGGATATTTCTGGTTACATGATGAAAGTTTTGAGTATTGTTTAACTTTCGGTGATGTGTGTATGTCATCATTATATTTCAGTATTGTTCGGCCAGCATAAACAACGATTTATGTCCAAGTAGTGTTAACACCGGTGTCACGTACTCAACAAGCTTCAATGTTCAACAGTAAGCTTTTCGTTATTTATAAGTTTTATCCAGGCTAGAGTCTCTGTTTTACAAAAATGGCCTCTAAAGACGATGACAAGATTCAAACATGTAATCAAATACGTATATTATATTCCCAGTTTGCCGTTTCTCGTATCTCCGTCATTTTTGGTAAAATAGAAATTTCCTTTTAACATAAAGCCTTCATTTATCGTAAACATTTTATGCCACTGAGGCTAAACATTAAATGTTCTATACCCTTGATGATATATTCAAAATATAACTAAACGCACGTAAATATATGTCGAAACGCTTGCAATATCAGGGTATTCCGTTTATTAAAAGAAAAAACTTCCTGTTTTTCGGTATCTTATGCTAAGAGTCACAGGGTGACTTTTCGGCTTTACTTGTTGAGGAAGAACCCGTGTTATCTCCGTAGAATTTGTTCTAGGTCTAAGTTGAAGCACCGACCCCCATACATCCCATTGCAAGATTCGAGCTAACTGCGGTAAGGGGCAATGATTCATAGTCAGCAACTTTAGCCACACGGTTATGTCCTGGACAGATTAGAATGAACACATTTGTTACTACTGCTGTTTTTGCTCCTCCTCATTTGATCGTTAACTGACGGATAATATACCATATACATTTATCACAGGCAACGAGCACTTCAGTTGTTCCCTGCGTCTACAACTGGAACTACGGCACTAACATCCGTAAACTCTGGAAATAACATTCGAATAACTGCTGTGACTGTTCCTAGCGGGATAGACGGAGGTTCTGGTAAGTGTACGAAATATTAAAATATCTATAGTAACAGCATAAACAAAATGCATATACATTTTCTAAATTGTTCAGCCGAGGTCAATTTTGCATGTAAATCAAGAAATTCTAGTCCCTTATGATTGATAGCTACAAACTTTGAAATTCTTTCAGAATAACGCCAATGCTGTTTAAACAATGAGCCTGAAATAGAAAAACTAGCTATTGTGTGGTTTAATATTCTTTTCCTTTAACTTTCTGACCTTCTCTTGTCTTTACTTCTTGTATCATAATGGACAAATTAGCATTTACAGATTGTGATTTGTGTAAATAACCAATTTAAGTATATTCTTATTCATTATAAAACCCAAATTACGTTATTTATACAAATTGTTCCGTTTTGATTTCATTCAAAAGTAATGAAGAAATGCCAGGCACATTTAAAATACGAGCGTCTCTACCCTGTATATGCTGTAACACATTCCTATTTTACGGATATACACGATCAGATCTTTAAATAAGAGCGAATTATTTGGAAGCTTTCTAAACTTATAGATTTACGTGATGCTAAAGGTTTCTACCTGTACAGCTGTACTTATTCTACAAACGCAGCGATGACAAACCCCACAACTTTCATTGATGCCAACGGGTATATATGCATTTTACATTATAGTGATTTAAACGTGCATACATAAGTTTTACTAATTATGTGATCGTCATAAGCAAATAGTTTAGATGAAATGTTCAGGTCAATTCTAGATAACAAATAATCTTTCTACCTTGTTCTAAGTATTTAATCTCTGTTATTTGATATCATGACTTGAATGTTTAACTTATCAAATGCAGATAAAGAAAAGAAGCATATATCACATACATCGTCAAGAAAAAATAACAATAAAACAAGTAAAATTATTTATTAAATTGTAATGATTATAGCCCCGCCTTCTTTGGTAAGTCACCCTGAAAATTACAAGCTATTGCTTATATACTTTTAGTGCCTTCAGCGCTTTGATTAAGATACATTTTTAATAACATGTTGGTATATTCAATCTTTAAATCTTTAAAAAAAAAGTAGACAGACAGACTGACTGGCCGGCTGTTTGATTGATTGATTGATTGATTGATTGATTGATTGATTGATTCATTGATCGATCTCCTTTGTTTATTCTTTTCCAGTTGTATGTTATTAGTTATTTATATTCCTATATTCAGTATATTTATCTTTAAATCAAGATGCCTTGTACCGAATACAGAACTAACCCCAGTGTCAGACTTTGAGGCAGACGACACTTTATCGTCACCAGACAGTAAATTTGTTTTATCGACAGGACAAATAATTGTTCGAAAAGTTGGCAACGCTGTCTATAGGGTACGATGTAATACAGGCAAATGTACTGTCGCAGGACACAACTTCTGCAAAAAGGTATCAAATATATAATAATGTTAATCTTGATAAAGCGATGTATTGTATATTCGCAGAATATATGGTCAAAATATCTATCAGTTATCCCCGTTGAATCTTCAATCAGGACAAAACAATTCATCATACTGTAGCGAAATTTTTGAGAAAAGTATTGCATGAATATACAGATATGCCCCCAATAGCCTCATGGAAAGAATTTGTTGTCACCAGCATTGTTTGGGTTAATAATAAGATATATTAGTAATGTAAGACACAAAAATATACATGTAATTCCGGTCAGACTCGAACCTTGAGTTTCCCGCAACAAGGCCGTTTAAAGCCGTTTCTCCATCGCGTCGTTTTTAAAAACTTGTTGCATGCAGCAAAGATACATTCCTTTTTGTGGTGATGGTGTTGGTATTTTTACTCCAGATCACGGCAGTAATGCACATTGTAAGCGTAGAAAAGTTCAGCCATCGCATCGTTCCATTGCAGGCTGTCAAGCAGTTTGCCAGTACTAGTTGCCTTCAATTTCGAAAGGAACTTCTGTGCATGTTAGAGCAGAGATACAGTGTGGATGACTGTAGAAAGGATTTCATTATCAATCGCAACGGAAGTGACCTGCATGGTCCGGGAATCGAACCCAGATCGCCCGATTCACAATCTCTACCGAGCTAACCGAACAGACACTTTCAGTGTGTTTTAGTTTCATTTTAGCTCGATGCCGGAAATTCAAAAGTCCGAGATCTCAAAGTCCATGCCGGTCCACTCTGGGGACGGTTATTTTATGCTGATCTTACTTAACATATTTTTGTTCATTGGTGGTTGATGGAGGTACGGCAATACTGCCAAGGCATCAAGTTTCTTGATGGAAACAAACAAAAAAGGGCTCATCCCGAGTTAGTCACAACAGGTCAACCAATTGTCTCTGGTACTTGAGACGATTTGACCTTGACCACTGATGGACAACAGAAGCTTTATAGCTTCATGATTAAACAAATCATAAGAGTACTTACCGTGCTCTCTACATTCCAGCCCAGTACTAGTTAATCAACATTTATTCATAGTTGAAACATATGGCATATTTAAATATCTAATATGATCTATATAAACTTAAATTGTTTGCAATAAAATCTATTTGAAATTATATTACAGAGATGTAGGGCAACAGATAACAATGTTAGCGGAAGTGCTAAGCTTGGTTATATTGGACATAGTTTCACATTGTCTGTGTTAGAGTAAGTTTATTTTGTTATGCAAGATTTATAATTGCATTTGTTTGGTCTTTTGTATAATATATACCAAACACGATGTTATAGATGTTTATGTGTGATAGATGAATAAGTGGCATCGATTAGGTGTGTACACACAGCATATACACGGATATATGATTTGTTTTGTTAATCATTTTCTACCGGATACACCAGTTATGCATTCATATATTTGCGACCAGTCAATTAACTAGTTAATTAATTAATTAACTTCTGTACCAATAATTTGATTTTCTCCACAAACCAGAGGCTCATAGAAATCGAATGTGCACGAGACATAATGCTACCCCAGACGAATTAAGCGGGCAAGAAATTGTCACTACAAACAAATATTTGTAATATAATTATACAGTGTACTAAAAGTTGCGAATATCTGTACAATTCTTGATAACGTTGTTTATTTCACACCTAATACGATATAACCAACGAACACCAGTCATTTTCCAGCGGAAATAATTATTGGATCAATTCTTATCAATTTAACCTCGTTTGAATCATTTTCTATCGTACATACCCCATATAGCCTCGTTTTTCATTTTTATAGTCCAGAAATCTATATCAATATGATATATATTGTCCTTAAAGTTACAATGTTCTGTCAAAATTTAAATCAAAGCACTGAATGTACTGATGGGGAGGCTATGAGAGAATGTTTCAGACTTATAGTTTCTTTTCTTTTTGCTTAAAATATGCTACCAAAATAAAAAGATATGCACATTGCGCTATTTATCCTTACTGTTGTGTTCAACCATTCATATATACGGTTAATGTGGTTGACTATTCATTTTGTAAATATTCCAGAACATTTAATTGAGGTCTACATTCGGACTGTTAATCATGCAAATTTTGAAAAACCTAAACTGTCAATAATAAATGACATACCAGCAAGTATGACGACTGTTCATTATCAGATAACAATAACATTTTACAACTGACGGTTCCTTATCAAAATATTCTAGGACTGTTCATCATAATACTTTATGTCATTTTAATATTATTGAATGATAATAACAACTGCAAGTGATGCAACATTTTTATTGAACATAAAAATTATGCACGTTTAGATGTACCATAATTGAGATCAATAAGATACTGTCTTGTGATGAGTATTAATATTCCTGCTCTACGGACAGAAGGTTGTCTTCTCCAGAAGCAAATCTCGAATAAAATCACGTTTCAGAAAATTAATCCCATTTCATTACTGACGGCGTCGGATAATATTAAAGCTAAATATTTCTTGAAAAAATACATCTCTGCAAAGCTTATTCAAAACTGAATCAACCTAAGTGAAAATTGATCAGGAAGTTATATCTTCTTTTTTTACCGCCAACACTCAACCAACTTATGGTAGTTAATCGATAGATTCTACGTGTATTTTTAAACCTCACTAGCTTGAAATATATACTGCGGAAAATCTGTTGTTAACAGGGTGTGCGGTTATTACGTAGGGTTTTCCCTGTCGACCATTTCCCGCAAATAGATGAGAACATCGAAGCCGTCAGTGCTATGAATGGTGTTATAAATGGCGTGTTTTGGAAGTTTTTGTTGAAACTTCTCCAAATACCTCCTGAGGCGTGCACGTCGCGGAGAAGGCACACGGAAGGTCATAGTCAAGTCATCATATAAGTACCAGAGGTGATTGGTTGACCTGTCGTGACTTACTCTGGAGGTTTGGCGCTAATAGATGCCGTTTTTGTTGTCGTCAGTCAGAAAGTTGATGCCTTGACGGTATTGTCGTCTCCTTTACCACCAAAGAACGAAGAATGGGCTTCCAGGAAGAATCTGCTTGAAAAAGACGTCCCAGATGCTATAATCTCGGACATATGGTTATTCCGGCGCCGAGTATAAATAAACTTAAAACACACACACTTTTGTTGAAAACAAAACAACAACACATTTTCTGTAGTAATTTTTCAAGTGTTGTAAAATGAATAAGAAATTCCTCTTATGCCGCCCATTATTTTTAGAACACAACCATAAAAGTTCTTTTTTTTTATTTTTCAAATAAACATTAATCACTTCAGCGCGCGCAAATATCGGTTTCAAATTAAAGTTTCGTAAGATATGTTAATGACTTCCCGATGCTCGACTGTAAGTAATTTGTATATGTATGCGGTTTTTTTTTGTTTTTGTTTTTTTGTTTTTGTTTTTTAATTAAAGCTTCTTATTCTTTAATATTTTTTATGTATCTCATAATCTGTATTGAAAATTTGAATTTTATTACACATGGACTATCAAATTATGATGTATGCCCTAGAATTGAATAAACTTTCTAATTACACAATACGGGGTCATACTGATCTTTGCGTCTTTCTCTGAAATAATTATTTCCTTGTTAAAACATATTTGACCACATATTTCTGTCAATTAACTGTTCACTTTACTTCCGATTTTATTGTACGGAAACACATGTTTCTATTTGTGTTTTCTAATCAATTCGAATATATAATCAGTTTAATGGGATCACCACCGGGTAAACGACTACTAGGTACTTTGGTCATGTTTTTTACCACAAATATTTGAATGTTTCTATTGGGATTAAAATGAGCATAGTTAACTAAACAACTGTTTGTATAAATTCCTGACCTGTCTAATTCTAATTATGAGATTAGTGAATATATAAGACTTTCACTACAAAATATTCCTAAACAAAAGAGCACATGTTTAAATTTATTCCTATACAAATAAAAGATCAGAGTAGGGATCTGTCAATTGCCAAAGATACTTTTATGTTAAAAGTTTGATTAATGAATTATGTAAGATGAAAATATAAGTATTGCTTTTTTTATTTTGCTAATGTAAAATGTAATATTGTGCTGGAATTTTGTCGGAGGTCCTTAGGGGTTTTGTAGTTAAATAGTTTTTTTTCGGCGATAATGGTTAAAGAATATAATGTTTTCAAACTATATGTTCATCACCATCAGTGAATTTTTAGTTAAATGTATGCAAAATATTTACTAAACAGCTATATGATTTAGCGGTTTATGAGCGTTTTCCGCGTACAGCCTCCTGGGGTGTACAAATAAGTTAGTTTTCCTTAGTTATCACGCAAGCATGATCCATGTCTCTGATGTAAGCGACAGTTTACAATTATTTGTCTTTAAAAAATATTAAGGACTATTAATAGTTTATAACAACAAAAGAACATGCATGATATTGAGAATACGGTGTTGCAACGTTCTAGTTAATGACCCGTCATAAACAGTTGGTCGCTGCGTAGTAATTGGAAAATTGTTATCAAAAATAATAAAGAATATTTGCCACTGAATTAAAGCATTTACTTATAAATTTTCATTTATGCTTTTTGTTAAAAAATATTGATAAAGTTATTATTTTGAAGGGTTTTCATACCAGAACTATTTATTACAGACGTACGTATGCCTTAACCTGATTACCGCGGCAGTATGACGTCACGGAGTAGTGATTTAAACAAAACTCAAGAATTTTTCAGAGAATTATTATCTTTACAAATTGCAGATATGAAATTAAAGAATGAAAATATTTTCATATTGTAAATGTCTGTGATGAGTGATGAGTCAGCTTAGAAAAAATCAAGGTACTATTTTTTGACCTGATTACCGCGGCAGTATGACGTCACGGAGTAGTGATTTAAACAAAAATCAAGAATTTTTCAGAGAATTATTATCTTTACAAATTGCAGATATGAAATTAAAGAATGAAAATATTTTCATATTGTAAATGTCTGTGATGAGTGATGAGTCAGCTTAGAAAAAATCAAGGTACTATTTTTTGACCTGATTACCGCGGCAGTAAGATTTGACAGACGGTTATTAACATTGGGTCGGCATAGCCTCCCCAAAAATGGCGGTGTGAAATAAAGAGGTCATTATACATTGTTTTGTACGATACTGATTCTTTTGGACTGGTACACAGATGGAAAAAACATGAAACATTAATTATTCAGAATATCATATTATTCTGCCAGCGCCTTGTCAGAAATAGATTTGACAGTTGTGTATCCGTCAAGTAGAATTCAGTATTGTTCTCAGCAATGTATGATAACCTCATATTATCACATTAACGTCCAACCAAAAATAAATCATGAGTTTCATTTATTTAGAATTCACTTTGCATCATTATATTAGACAGCAGCCATTTTTAGTATTGGGAAATAAATTTTTAAAATTGATTACACTAAACCCATTTATATAAAAAAAAACTTTTTAAAATAAATTTGATGGCACTTTATTTGTAAACGTTTTATTGGAACTAAACGTGTATATTTCAGTGTAGTGAACGTGCCAGCTTTAAATATGAATCTACAAGGACCAAATGGTCAAGCGTTGTCGAGAACAAGTGATCCAGTCACTATTGGAAACAATGTCAACTTTGGTGCTGAAGTTACACCTGGTGGTACAGGACCGGCCAGTAAGATTGTTTAACCCACAACCTTCTGAATTTGTGTAATAACATTGCTCTTCAGCCAGTTGAAAATTTAAGGGATTTTATAAGAATCTTACACTGGCTGCCGGTACAGACCGGAATATCTAGCTCGAGGGTAACTGTTTACGGCGGTAACGAGGCTCTGCCGAGTTTCCGCTTAAACAGTTACCCGAGAGCTAGATATTCCCGTCTGTACCGACAGCCGGTGTTTGATTCTTTTTCTTGCATATTACATACCAATTATTTTCAGAACAGAAATAACGAAACCTGATATTTTCATTACGTACTTTTTTCTTATAGTAGCGTATGAACATACAACTTCATTCATAACGGTTAAGTGACGTCATCCTAAGAACGAAATTCATTCATAAAAGGCGCGCAGCAATGACGTCATTTAAAGCACGCGACTTGTCTTACATGGGGGGTGTAAGACAGGGTTTTCTAGCACCGGTGTAAACGGTAGATAATCCTGTCTGACATGCAAGAAAAATATCTACATGCTAGAGCCTGATCAGACTGGACGGATATGTAGGCTGGCCATTGGTGTCAAACGTTAATCACTTTCGGCGCCAGCAGGTTGTCGTTAAAGTTTTAATTAAAACAGTGGTGTTTTGAATATATAAGTATGCTCACATATATTAGTATGCTTGAAATATGATCTAACTTTTCAAATGTTATATAAAATATTAAAATTTCAAAACTTATTACATAGTCAACAGTGAATTTTTTCATAAGTTTATAACTTCATTTCTGTATTCAGGTGCAGCTTTTGTAAATGCAAAAGGTATATTCCTCCATAGTTGCTATGCAACACAGAATAATCAACGACGGATGTTCATTGATGAGAAAGGGTACGTAGACGCGTCTTTACATCAATGCTGTTTAATTTAGTCTAATCCGAATAGATAATAAAAAATACAACATCTGTCATGTTTAAGCATTTTTGGATCTCCCAACAATATGCGCCATCTTAGGTGGACAATGAGATATTATCATATACGTTATAAAATTGCACGGAATCTACGTGTCTGCGCTTCTCAACTCGTATCTTTCAATAGTATACTACAATGTACTCAATATATAAAATCTAAGTCAGTCTTAAGAACAGTACGCGGTCCGTGATCATGGACACTAGCGGCACAGACCACCATAATTATATTATTCGAAATTTCCGGTAGTTGCCTTCTGATGTTTTGGCGCAATTTATATATACATGTAGTTATTTTTTACACTAAAAAAGCTTAAGCATGTATTTGACCGCACTTCCTTCTTTACAGTTGTTCAGTTGCAGGGTCGCCGTATGAAACTTCTGAAAACTGTAAAGATGTTACAGAAGTGGACGGGGTACCACCATTTAAGATAGACTGTGGAACATTTACAGTCCCGGATACCGGAGATGTAGAACAGACCTGTAATATAAGCATTTGTACAACGGAAAATAATAAATTCTGCGAAAATGTAAGGAATATATCAGATATGAGTAAGATTTACGAATAATTATCGTCGTGCGGACACGGACTGCAGGACGAACGTTCGGACGGACGGACAATTCAATCACTGTGTGCTTCCTACTTTTTAAATGAAAATTAGTTTGAATCTGGAGACATTCAACGAAGTGTTTGTTAATATTGTTTGCTTTTGTAATGATATATATTTTCTATAAAATTGTCTATTTCACAGACAAAAGAGTGAGTTTTTAGTTTAGTTATGAATGATGCGCATTTTAAATTAATGAAGAAAAAAAAAAAGAAAAAGAAAAATATATGGTCCTAAAAACGTGATAGTTGGGACGGAGGTCAGGAGCTCCACACAATAACTCTTTATGGTTCTTTATATGTTGTTTCAGCAAAACATATCATATTCGTTTATGTCCTACTACATATAAAGTAGCATTGGTCAATATTTTCATATTAATGCTTTGATTTCCTATACGTGTTAAGGTCAATATTTTCATATTAATGCTTTGATTTCCTATACGTGTTAAGGTATATATAGGTATATCGGTATAAACGTGTTTGTATTACTACAACTTTATTTTACCATATTTACAGCGGTGCACTGCAGGAGAAATTCAACCAGATTCGAATGTAGTTAACCCAAATTTGTCAACTACCGCTGCATTCCGAACTCAAGATACCACCAGACCAAGAACAGCTGTCAGTAAGTATTATATTTAAGTCCATTAAATCAGCGAACAAAATATGTGTACAGTCTATAGACTAGTATATAATGTATCGACTATGTTATAGGTCTGTTTGTTTAACAAAGTATTCTAGCCCTTGCGTATTTTTAAGTTCTTCTGGATCTTATATCTGTACTAACATGTATTCCTTAGACTTTATATAAGCTTCTGGAATCATAGACATCGGACGCTTGTCGAAAAACATCTTGCCTTTTCAAAAAGTAAACTCCGTGTGCGAATCCCAGGTTCGTATAGACCTAGTGCGGTCCAAAAGGGTTAATCCTGTATAAATGATTATACCCCAAATAGAGAAGTTACATGACCATTCCTGATTGAACATACCGACATGCGTGTCCAGGCAAATATATATTGTCCGCTTATAATTTTAACATTATATACCACTTCATTATACATGTACTTCATAAGAAAGACAATTCAAGCATTTGTTAACGATTAGCGAATGTATATACGTACATGTGACACGATTCAAAATAACATTAAAAGAATACCTTATCAAACAATATGTCTGCTGAAGATTTAGTGGTGTCATTATTGGTGTATTTTTTTATTTCAGAATCTGAAGAGTTGCGGAACACCATCGCCGCCGTGAGCGTCGTTTTAGCAGCTCTCATTCTGCTTGGTGTAACAGTGGGAACGTGTATTATTGTTAACAAGCAGAAATCCCTAGCTAAACGTAAAACTGGATGGCAGACGATACAATTATTACTAAATATAGACCTGTTTGGCTAAAATCATGTTTCATTATACTCAATATGTATATTTGATAATGTATGGTTATAATTATATAACATCTCACTAGTAATTTGAATGAAGAATGTTGTTGTATATTGATTGTCATAAAGGATAAATGTACAAAAAACTTCTAAGAACAATATTTCAGATACAATATTTCAAAAACAATAATGTCTTACAATATTGTATTACTTGTTCCTGTAGTTTTGGTCATTATACAGACAGGAATTAAAAAAAACATTTATTAAATCAAAAATTATTTGAATAAATAACACCAAGACCATAAGAATTTCCTTAAAGTATTGTTGAAGTTATTTTAAGATAATTATTAAATACATTTATTCAGGATTGCAATTCTATAGCTAGATATTATTAAAATAGTTATCCTTAAACTGAGTTGTTGTCTATATGATATTTAACCATGCCCAGAATTACATAGCAACTAGCATATTGTTTATTATCAATTCATAATAACTAACAACCACCAATATCTTGATTATACATCCTGTCATCCAAAACACGGTGTAAAGACGGAATACCCCACAGTCAGGCTAAGCGTTACAGGAGAATTATATCCGACGACGACGTGTTCTCTACTTCACTGAGCAAACTACGAGAATTCTTCATAAGTAGAAATTTCCCTGAGACGGTTATAGATTCAGCGTTTCTTCACGTGTCACAGATGTCACAAGAGGATGCCTTACGGCCACAAGATAAAGAAAAGAAAAACGTTCTTCCATTTATTGTGACATATAATCCGTCCTTACCTAATATTGGAAATACTATTCATAAATATTGGGACCTACTAAATCTGTCAAAAAACGAAGGTGTTAAAAATATTCACAATAACTACACACCCATAATTGCCTATAAACGTCCAAGAAACTTACAAGACTTTTTAGTTAGATCTAGATTTGATACTGACAGTGACTTTACATCACATTCTGGAGGTTGTTGTAGAAAACGCTGTTCTC